ATTTATGTGTAAGTATAGGAAAAGGCAGACATGCCAACTGCTCTGTGAGTACATTCAACCTGTCCTTTATCCCCCTCTAAAACGTGCGTACTGCCATCTGCTGGAAAGAGCTTTTCTACAACATTTAAACAGTGTTTTTGAAAAAAATTAGTAAAATGATTTTTTCAGTAACCTTCTTAATAACTTAAACTGCATCTTTTATTCTATTGAGACTTAATGAATTTCGAATAGAAGAGTCTTGAAGTTCCTTTCAGTGAAAACTATGGGGGCAATCGTTTTTCTTGGTCTTTTCAGGTAGATTATGAAAATACATTCACAAATCTTTAAAACACTTTGCATAGATAGGTGGATGGGTGCTAAAGTCCTCTGTATTTTGTTGAGTGTAGTTGTGCAGCATTTTGCTTTATTTGGGCAATGACCCTTCGAAGTAGGCAGAGCAAGCACAATTATCATTTGCCAGTGTGAAAACAGAGGCTCAGGGAGGTTAAATGACCCAAGGTCACTCAGCTTATCAGTAGCACAGCTGGGACCAGAGTCCAGGAATTTGAGTATCTAATCCTGTGGTGTTGCTTTATTCCTCCAACTTTTAGCATGTCCAATGTGTCTCAGAGTATAAAGGCATGGCATCTCAGGCATTGATAAGGCCTGGCAAAATGAAAAACAGCCAAATTACTAAGTACGTTTTAAAAGTGAATACAGTGTAGAAACCAACTTTTTTAAGTCTTGAAAATTAGTAAGTGGGATCTAGTATGTTGCACGATATAGACACCTAGTATTTGTTGATTTTCCATGTTGAGAGAATACTTTCTTCTACATAAAAATGTTATTCCCTTATACTTGATTATTCCTACCCATAATAATTTATGTATATCCTGTAAGTTTCAAAAATGTGTGCTGACTCAGAACATTTCATAACTGATTTTAGTTTCTACTGGGGCACCCTGTTATCTAATTAGCCTGGCATAATAGTGACATTTGTTAAATAATACTTTTCATTTGGTAAATGGTATATTTGACCTTTAGAAAAGCATCCTTTTATTCATTTAAGATTATTGCCTTTGGGAATGTGAAGTTTGTTCTTATGCTTTCTCAGAACTACATTGATTTTGTTTATTTTATTTATTTATTTATTTATTTTGTCCTTTTTGATACCGGCCGCACCGCACTCAGCCAGTGAGCGCTGTGAGCGCACTGGTCATCCCTATATAGGATCCGAACCCGCGGCGGGAGCCCTGCTGCGCTCCCAGCGCCACACTCTCCCGAGTGCGCCACGGGCTCGGCCCTTACATTGACCTTGAAATCAACCAAGTGCAAATGAATTTGCTAATTTAGGCTGATTATATGTATACATTTTATACTAACTTGAATATCACAAGCTATTTGTTGTTATGACTGCCTTTCTTTCATTTTTTGATTCTAAGATTTTCTGATGTGGGTGTTGTCACTGCTTGTGTTATCACTGCTTTTCTGCAGTGGCTGTAAGTGCCTCCTACTTCTATCATTCCTCTTCCAGAAATTAATTCATTTTTTTTTTTTCAACCAAACTGCTTCTTTAGTTTTATTGTTCTTCCATTTTGTTTATTTACTAACATTGCTTTCGATCTTTTTTTTTTTTTTTTAATCAAATGCTTTTTACATTTCAACTCTGTTAAACTAAGTACATGTTATAACTTGGTGAAGCCACATTTCTAATTTGAAATAGCTGCCTTCCAAGACACTTCTTGGAATGTCCATCAGTCTGTGAGTGAACATGTTAGTGACAGGTCTAACTTTGGACTTTTTGCTTTTATTGCAACTATAATGTTAGGAATTTATTATCAGGTAATTAATCTTGAAAAGGGGGATGATTCAATCTTTAATTGGGTAACATGAGGTGTGATGTTAAAAGAACCTGCCCATGACCATAAGGGCCATAAGAAGCCACAGCTTTTTGCCTAGCATTCAATTTTTCCTTATATTGAGCTGAAATTTTCTCCTTTAATAATGTGATCCCATGGTTTTTAATTTTATTTTCTGTAGATATATGTAATAAATATAAGTCCTCTTCCATATGACAGCCATTAAGTCTTCTTTCTACATTTGCCTTTTCTGTTTCCCAAACTCTAATGTCATTCACTCCCCGCTTTCCTTCCTTTCACTCATAAAATTTTTAAGCAGTTTGTTTGTGTGAGTTAATTTTTTTAATTCTTACCCCAACCCTGAGATAGTATTTTTATTATGTCCATTTGACTGAAGCTCAGAAAGATGAAGATCTCCTAAGCAATGAGGGGTTGAACCAGGATTTATCTATTAATGTGTGGTAGCTAAGCTTTTAACCACTATGTCTCCCCAACCATTCTTTTTATGGCACATGTTCCAGGCTCCTTGCTCTTTTTCCTTCTCTGGAAATATTCATGCTTTTTGAACACCTTTATTATAAGGCAGCACAGAAAAAATGAACCCAATACTTTGGGTGTATTCTAGGCTTGAATGGAACAACTTGGGCATGAGCTACCTGCCTGCACACCTATGCAATGCAACAGTGCATTGCAGTTTTGTTTTTTGTTTTTTTCACATTGTGGCTTACCTTACACTTGTATTAAATTGAGTCCTACCCTTTTGTGTATGTGCATGTGTGTGTGTGTGTGTGTGTGTGTGTGTGTGTGTGCACATTCTCAAATGTATATAATTATATTTATGAATGTATGTGTATATATCTACATGCATTTTTCCACTTAAAAGGACTTCACATCTTTTTTGTTAAACTATATTGTATCATCTTTAGTATGTTCTACTTTAGGCAGTTCTTTTAGCTCCTTTTTTTTTTTTGCCATCTACAAATTCAGTAAACATGCCTTCCATGTAGAAGGAAGGTATTGATAGTTTAAAGTGCTCTATGCAGTCTTATTGGATTCTTGAAACATTTGAACTGATATTTCTCAGTCTGTTTCTTTGTCAGTGTGGCAAGTCAAATTTTACGATTAGTGAATTTCTTTTTTATATCATTTTATCATTCTTGAGTTATATTTATTTATAAAGTGTCTCTCTCTGGGATTATGCCTATCTTTTCTCTACAGGTTTTAGTTTTGCTAGGCCTACTGTCCAAACCTCCTGGATCTCAAGTTGAATTGCTGTTAGTTTTCCATCTAGTTATTGTGACAAGTGTTGGGTCCCTGTTCTTGGGAACAGCTAAGCACCTCTGTAATCTAGCCAGGTAGTACCACCTTTCTCATTCCTGCTAGCATGTGCCAAGTTGTTAAGCATTTTTATTTGTACTAATTTTGTACCAGCTTAATCAGAAGATATAATTACAGTCCACTTTAGAATCATATCTGCCAATAACTTACTGTGTTTTTTTGTGTGTCAGTTAATTTCTACAGGCGTCATCTTCCTCATCTGTATAAAACTGAGTTGGATTATGACCTCTGAGAGATTTTAAAATATATCAAGTCACTTTTTAAAATTTCAACAGAAAAGAGAAATACCACATTTCTCACTTATTTGTGGGAGCTAAAAATAAATAAATACACAAACAAACGGGGGAGGGGACGGAAGAAACCACAACAATCACAATTTCTTGAAGTTGTTAATACAAGTGAACAGAGATGAGGTTGATGGGAGGGAGGGGGGAAAGGGAGAGGGGAGGGAACATTTGGTAATGGGCCACAAAAATCAACCAATCAATTTAATTCAATAAAATTAAATTAAATTTTAAAAAATTCAGCCTAATTTTAAAAATTAAATAAAAAGCAGTGACTAAAGTTTGATCTTCTGAGCTGCATCCAGGGCTGACATTCATCTGATATGCACTTGTACAATCACTTTAGTATTAAAATGTTGAAGGACGTCTATCCTTTAGGACTTCTAAACAATCATTGCCACAGCTGCCCCATTCCTGGGGGGCACTGAGAAGGCCACATGCTGGCTGGCCCACAGATAGGCCACCACAGCTCCCACACACAGACCCCACACCTATGGGCTCCCTCAAACAGATATTGCACCCCCGGTAGCCACAGGACATGCTAGAGAACAAATGCCTGCTGTTCGTTATCCTCTACCCTGGCTATAGCCGCTCACAGGCTAGCAGAAGATCAGAGTCACTCTTCTGTCATTGCTTTTGGTGAATGTAATATGTGGATAAATTCACTCGTGACCCCTTTCCAACACTACATGATGTAGTTTGGATGTTTTGTTCCCTCCAAAACTCATGTGGAATTTTGATTTCCAATGTGGCAGTGTTGGAAACTGATTGAGTCATGGGGGCGGATCCCTCATGAATGGATTAATGCTCTCCCTGGGGGTGGAGGGGTAGTGAGTGAGTTCTTGCTCTATTAGTTCCCTTGAGAGCTGATTCTTTAAAGGACCCTGGCACCTCCTTTCTCTCTCTCTTGCTTCCTCTTGCCATGCGATCTGCTTGTACCCACCAGCTGCCTGCCACTGCTCCACCATGAGTAGAAACAGCCTGAGGCCTGTGCCAGATGCAGCTGTCCCAGAATCGTAAGCCAAATAAACCTCTTTTCCTTATAAATTACCCATTCTCATACAGGCGTGACACCGAGGGTTGCGATCCCATTACCGGTCAGTAAAAAAGACAAAAAGGAAAAATAAATAAATACATACATACATACATACATACATACAAACATACATACAAACATACATACAAACATACATACAAACATACATACATACATACATACATACATACCCAGTCTCAGGTATTTCTGTTATAGCAACACAGACTAATACAACTACAGTAGTTTAATGAAGCCTTTTCTGAGCATATACTCTAAGTTCATAGTACTGTGGAGTGTACCAAGTCAGTAATTCACACATTCAAGGACTGTTCTAAAGCTAAAGAAAGATAGATGACTTCATTTCAGAGTTCAGCTTAAACTAAATTTTTTTAAAAAGTAATTTGACTTTTGTACTTGTGGTGATTACATGGCCAATCCCTTAAATGGTGAGCGTTTCATGAAATCCTTTGTGTTACCTTTCTTTAAGCAATTTTTTGTTTCTAGGTGAATGAAATTTACCATGACGAATCCCTTGGAGTGCACATAAATGTGGTCCTGGTGCGCATGATAATGCTGGGTTACGCAAAGGTAAAGTGTCTTAAAACATGTGAACTATAAGCATTAGGGACTGGGTTGTTACTGAAGCTACTGTTAACAAGTGGCATAGATATATCCCAAGTAGACCCCAACTGCTCTGAGCTGAAGATGTGAAACTGCCACAATGAGTGGAGATCTCCAAATCTGAGCAAATAATGAACGGTTTTTGTACTACTACCATTTGCTTATTTTCTTCTGTCTAAGGGAGATGCAAATAGTTATCCTGACTTTAGGCATGATTGTGTGAATAAAAGCTAATGGATTCCTTTATGAAGAAAGAGACTTTCCTTAGCTATCATTATCATCAAGTTTGTGATTCATCTATTCATTCAAAAAATCTATATTGAGTTTCTACTATGTGGCAGACACTTCCTAGGTGCTTGGAATAGAGCAATGAAGAAAAAAGATAAAGATCTTTCTTTGTCTTCTCTTGATTTGTTAAAAATGGTATTTTACAGGTGTATGTTTCTACTTAAGTAAAGTGAAGCACAAAGAGAATATTTTTTTATTCAAAAGAGCTTTAATCCTTTTGAAGCCAAAAGGTTGTATCAAAATGCATATGATAGGCATTTCATATAATATATTTGACTTGGCTGGCTTTAAAATGGTACTAAACGGGTCCCTGTCCTTGGAAATAATGAAATGGATGAAGAGGTTTCTGCCTTTGAGTAGCAAACATAGGGGAAGTGACTAACTTGACAATTTTCATGACGTTTAAAATTACATTCTTCTCCCATAATTAATTCTCTTGATTATGAAATAGTAATACATTTGTACATTTAGCAAATAGGAAAAATTCATGTGTTTGCATTTCATTATAATTTCACATTCACTTGTCATTTGTTAATGATAAGGTGCTATTGATCTTTAGTTTATCGTATCAACCTGACCTGCTTTGTGTTGCCAACAAAGAATACAAGTTAACTCTAGCTGAAGGTGTTAACAGGCTTCAGTCGGTTGTTAAATCATTTGTTTGGAGGAGTACGTGATCAGCATATAACAAACCAAGCTAATTTTATTAAGAATGTAAACACTGATAATAGCAATTGTGGAAATATAACAAAACTCTCAGCCTGTCAGCCAAGTAGGGACTACTTTTGGGTTCCAAGTTCAATTTCTCATTGCATCAAAACTGCTATGGGAAATGTGGCTTCTGAGTTCTGGAAGTATGGGCCCTTTTCCCTCTGAACTTTTAACTCCTGACCACAGTGTGATAGTAGCAATATCCCAAGGAACTTAAATCTATCTACTGGAGCTGCAAGGTAAGAGTTACCTTGAGGTAACTCTTCATTACCATGAAGTTTAAAAAAAAAAAATGTTAGTTTTGTTTTCAGTGTGAGGTTAAAATAATTTGACTGCTCCCCATAAACTAATATTTGACCTGTTTTGCTAGCTTATGGAAGAACTTATATTCTTTCCACATGTTGATTAATTCTGGTCCAAAAAAATTTTTTTTTGACTAAGATATTTTACTTTAACATCTTTGGAAAAATGTCTATTGCCAGAATCTTTTCCAATATTTTTGTTCTTAATATCTGAAAAACTCAAAATCTAAGCTGGATCAGGAAATATTTATACTACTAAAATCATAACCCAAAAAATTAATATCAAGTCCCCTCACAATAGCAAATCCCAGTATCAGACATTCCCTTAAATGGCGTCAGTTAACTTTCACACAGGTGATATTGATCATCATAAAGATATCCTTCATGGGAATCTAGAATTCCCAGACCATAGTAGATATCTAAATAAGACCCAAATAAAATCATGGAATAGTTGTTCAAGCACTGTAATCCCAAATTTCAACTTCAGAGAAACTTATTAAAGGAAGCCTTTGGGAAAATATTATGTACGTCTTTAACATATTGTTTCCTCTTAGTCCATCAGCCTCATCGAAAGGGGAAATCCATCCAGGAGCTTGGAGAATGTGTGCCGCTGGGCTTGCCAACAACAAAAATCTGATCTCAACCACTCTGAACATCACGATCATGCAATTTTCTTAACCAGGCAAGACTTTGGACCTGCTGGAATGCAAGGTACTACCATTAAGATGTAGAAGGAAAACTTCAGGGCATGAGTTTTCAAACGTAATCCTAAATCAGGCAGTCTGTTCAAATGTTCATATCTCTACCACCACATTCCGCCATGTAACAGCCAAGCATACATTTTCTTTCTATTGCTTCTGGTGACTTCTGTGGAATTCACAATGTTAAATACCACTTAAATACCATAATAGATTAGAGTTGCCTTTTAAATAATTGAACATTTGGGGTATGGAGGGGATGCTGTAAAATTCAGTGTAATTTTCACTAAGTGGAATGAGAAAAGAGGTTCCATGAGAAATGACTGCTGCCAAAGAGCTTTTTTCCAAAGTCGGCTTACATTTATCTAATAAATTCTGATGTGGATTTTGGAAAAAGCAGACTGATGATTTTCTTTTCAACATTGGTAGAATTTCTGGCTTCCTTCATCAGTACCATGATATGAAGGACCATTTACTAAAACAGAATGACAAGACTGAGCTGGTGGGCAGAAGAGAATAGTGACCCCGGCCAGTTCCTTCCCTTAGGAAAGGAGAAAATGCAAACAGTAATCTTTTTAGAGACCATTACCTATGGCTTTCCCAAGAGAATGTGGCACAATGATCGCAGGGAAATAATACTGCCCCTGTTTGCTGAGAAGTTTTTTTTTTTCTCCTTAGGCAAAGGTCCAGTAGTAATTCTTAACGGGTTTTCTCATAAAATGAAAGTAAAAGTAATTGTTATTCTCTACAGGATATGCTCCAGTCACGGGCATGTGTCATCCAGTGAGAAGTTGTACCCTGAATCATGAGGATGGTTTTTCATCTGCTTTTGTGGTAGCCCATGAAACCGGCCATGTGTAAGTCACTGTTGACAGCTATAAAGCAAGAAAAAGGTCTTTTCTTTCCTGCTTTTCCCAGTATTGTTTGCACTTTGGGCAGAATGCATGCCAGCATGCGATTCTCATCCCTTGCCAAGAGTGATGAGCTGAAAACAGCGAAGGGGTCACGTACTGAAACTAAATAAGTGACTCTGGCTTGCAGAGCCTCTCCTGGGCTTTTGATAGCTATAGAATAAGAAAGGCGTTTCTGTCAGATTGCTGACGACTTTAGTTTCTATGTCTCCTCCAAGAAAACCACATTGACTTAAAACTACATATTTTCCAGTACTTATTTTCAATACAGAAATTTAGTAAAAGCTGTAGCCTCCTGATCCTTACCAGTGTGGTCTCCTCTGTGTTTTAGGTTGGGAATGGAGCATGATGGACAAGGCAACAGGTGTGGGGACGAGACAGCTATGGGAAGTGTCATGGCTCCCTTGGTGCAAGCGGCATTTCACCGGTACCACTGGTCCCGATGCAGTGGTCAAGAATTGAAAAGATACATCCAGTATGTCCCCTGCTGCATGTCCTGAGAGCACTTATGTTATAGCCTACAGACATGAAACTGACTCTTAGGTCCTTGATCGTTAACAAAATTCCCAGCAAATGAAAACTGTTGTTGGCAATAAATGTTTTCTTATGACTCAGAGCCTTTGGTACAATGATTCCATAATGTAATCACAATATTTTAAGCCATGAGCCTAGAATTTAAGTGAATTTTTAACAGTGATGTGACTTCCCTTTAAAAAATTCTTTATGGAATGTTTGATGAATGGTCAAACTTGAGTTGAGGATGGGGAGAGGATATTCATGTGATTCCTGCTTATTATACCACCCATACCTTGTAGTGTAGCTGTCAGTATCTGCCCTGCCACACCATGTAGGGGTTCAGTTAGTGACACAAATAAGGTTATCACAGCTCTACTGCATTCCTAAGCCACCCTTGGCTTACTTTCCTGGGATAAGGATGAAGTGTCTTTTTCTACATGGAACTGAAACCAAAAACCTTAAAACATGTGCTTTTGTGAACTTGCTGTGTGATCTGATGAAATTCTAGTGTATATAAACTCGGCGTACTTTTCCATTAGAACATGATTTGAAACGTGAACATTTAACAACATACAATATTTTCCTTCCTGCAGTTCCTATGACTGTCTCCTTGATGACCCTTTTGAACATGATTGGCCCAAACTCCCAGAGCTTCCTGGAATAAATTATTCTATGGATGAACAATGTCGTTTTGATTTTGGTGTTGGTTATAAAATGTGCACTGCGGTACGTTAGTCAATTTCAATTTGGTATCTTGAAATCTATTTGTGTAGCTCCTGTTTTGTTAGCTTTATAGACTGCTCGGTGCAAGTCTAAGACAACTTGTGTTTGCTATGTTGCTGTGTGATTAAAACTAAATTCTTTAAATATGCTACCTTATTTAATCCTCGTGACAGATTAGAAGGGAACTGATATACTTTTATTTTACAGAAGAAAAAGCCAAGACTTACAGAGATTAAGCAACCTGCTTAAAGTCACACAGCTGGTATATTGGGGAGTTGGACTTTGAAACCAAGGCTCTCAGGCTCAAATCTTTTTTTTTTTTCTTTTTATTTTGTCAATATACAATGTAGTTGATTATTATGTCCCATCACCAAAACCTCCCTCCCTCCTCCCTCTCCCCCCTCCCACCCAAGCATGTCCTTTCCATTTGCTTGTTGTAAGAACTTCAAAAAAATTGTAGTTGTTATATCTTCCTCTCCCCTCCCCCCCCCCGGTTTTTTTTGTTTGTTTGTTTGTTTGTTTTTGTGTGTGTATGTATGTGAGTGAATTAATTAATTTATTTTTAGCTCCCACAAATAAGTGAGAACATGTGGTATTTCTTTTTCTCTGCCTGACTCGTTTCACTTAATAATCACTTCAAATCTTTATTCTCTATTTCCCCCCTGGTTTTTGTGACTTCAGAGATGACTATTAAACCTTAGATTTATTTCCTTTGGCTTGATGGCCAGGAGTCCATGGATGTGTGACCACAGGGAAGGGTTGCGCTGGTATATTGTCTTATGAGAAACATATTGTAAAGTATGGGGTCAGGAATATGGACACCATAGTCGAACTGGGTGGGTCAGATCCTAGATCTGACACTTACTGAATGTATGACTTTGGACACCTTATTTAATCTCTCTGACTTAGTTTCCTCATGTGTAAAATGTGAATAATAGTATTTGTCTCATAGGATCAGTATGAGGATTATATTAGATAATGGAATTAAATTGCTGCATACAACACAGGCACATAGTAAATGCTCAATGGAATTCATTAAAGTCAGTCTTCCACATAACTAGCTAATTCAGATTAGAGTTATGTTTCATTAAATTTCCATGTTGATCATTAGCAGTTAACTTTTTTTAAAAAAAAAAGTAAGGGCTTTTTACATGTTGGAGCAGATTTTGTGTGTTACAACAAGAAAAATAAGGATTTCATGGTATTGAAAAAATATTGATCTGCTGTTCGAAATCTTTCACATATAGCCATTTGGTCTGTCTGTGTATACACCGTGAGCTCCTAATTACCTGCATTAATGTTTTAGGTCTGAGAATTTTAAAGCTTTGGCTCAATGCCATGGAAAAGTACAGTTTCTGCATTAAGTAATAGGGATTAGAACAAAAAATCCAGGTCTAAAAATGAGTACTAATAAAAAAAAAATCTATGGACATAAGGCTGTATGTGGGTAATTAGCCGTGTCGGCAGTAGATATGTGGATAAATTGTTGTTTTATATTTTTAAAAAATCTATCTAAAGAATGGTAAGATGTTTACATTTAGAGAGAAAGACAGCAGATGAGTAAAGAGCAGGCACATATGTTACACAAACATTCAGATATTACGATGCAGTGTTTTAGGAAAATAAAAACACATGCTAAAGAGTGAGAAAACCAAGACTTAGTGTGGCTCTTTTACTGTCTTACCTGTAATCATAACTGTACCCTTAACTTGTGACCCGTGTTTCTCAGCCAGACATTGGTGTGAGGATCGAACGCATGTATGAAAGTACTTTATAAACTACATGAATGTATTACGATATTTTGTTACACCTGGAATACCTTATCTTACACAGAAAGTTTGACAAATATTTTCTACTTTTAGTCACCTAATTAGTATGAGTATTTTTATTATTTATTTCTAACTAGTTTGTACTTACAGGGATAAAGAGAAAACATTTTGATAGCTTGAGAGCTGTCAAATGATTATATGTTTTCATATTTAAAATGTTCATGGTAATTTCTAGCTCTTTTTAAAATTCCAGCATTATCTATTTGAAAACATTAAAAGAAACATTAAAAGCCAACTGGGGAATCCCAGACAAATCATTGTTTATCATTGTTATTTTAGAAACGCAGAATAAAAGTCTTCTTAGAATTCTTAGGCAGTGTTTTTTTCCTTAACGTCAAAATTTGGCTATTAACTTAAAATAAATATATCTAAGAAACATGACATGAAGAGACTGTGTAGGATATATGTTTGGTGCATGTCATGCTATCTGAGAGTTCACAGGGAGTTTAATTCTCTCTCTTCCAGTTCCGGACCTTTGACCCATGTAAACAGCTGTGGTGTAGCCATCCTGATAATCCCTACTTTTGTAAGACTAAAAAGGGACCCCCACTTGATGGGACTGAATGTGCTGCTGGAAAAGTGAGTATATCTATTTATACAATGAAGATTTAAGTCATGTTGTATAATCATCATCTTTAAAAGTCTGGAAAATGATGAACATAGCTGTACTGTTATTTTTATGAAGAACACAGTATGTGAGGTTTCATTAGGGTAATGCACTGAGATAGCGTACTAATTTCCTGTGGTTGTTGTAACAAATTACCACAAACTTGGTGGCTTAAAACAACAAAAATTTATTCTCTCACAGGCCTGAAGGCCAGAAGTTCAAAATCAGCTTCACTGAACTAAAATCAGTGTGTGGGCAGAGCCATGCTCCCTCCAGAGGCTCTAGGGGAGAATCTGTTCCTTGCCTCTTCCGGCGTCTGGTGGCTGCCTACCCTCCTTGACTTGTGGCTGTACAACTCCATCCTCTGCCTTTGTGGTCACACTGCCTCTTCCTCTTCTGTGTGTGTCAAATCTCCCTTTGCCTCTCTCTTACAAGGATACACGTAATAGCATTTTGGGCCCACCTGGATAATCCAAGATAATCTCCCTAGCTTAAAATTCTTAATCTAATCATATTTGTAAAGACTCTTTTTCCACCTAAGATAACATTTACAGGTTCCAGGGCTTAGGACCTGATATCTTTGGGACCACCATTCAGCCCACTCAGAAGAAAATCTGGTCCCCTGCTAGTGGGATTTGATTTACTTGCTGGCATCCCATTCCTGTAAGTTGCCCAGAAATAAAGTCATGTGAGCTTATACAGAAGATTTGGCTTTGTTCCTTGAGGAAAGATGCCCAGAGGTTTTAAATCTCGAATTGTGTAGTCAGTATTGAATACTTTGAAACTGGCTGAGTGCCAAGCTATGATGCTCATGAGGGCAAAGATCCCCAAACAAAGGCATGTTAAGAACTTAAGTTGAAGAGCATTGACTAGTTTAGAAATAAGTTATTGCAGACAGGACCAAAATCTGACAAAGAAGATTTATATCTTTATAGCTCTTCGTTCTTTTAAAGCTCTATTTCAAATATATATAACCGTACTTATGAGAATTATATGCATAATAATAATAATAAAACCTGTCATTATGAGTGTTTGCACTATGTTAGGCACTATGCTAAGTACATTTTATACAATGTCTTGCTTTGGGAAAATTCAGTATTACAAACTTTTAACTAAAATCAAGAGAAATAATAAGTTGATTCATTTTGCTTTATAAAAATAAAAAAAGATAACCTGCAATCAACTTCTAATATCCAACTCCCTAAATATATTTGTGTTATATTTAAATTTACAAAAGTTAAGTTTTAAGAAACAATTTTATTGTATGTAGTATAAAAAAGCACATCAAAATGTTGAAAAGGCAAATAACTAATACCCTTTGAGCACCTGCTGTATGCTGGGCACTATAAGCTAGCTGCCTGTACAGTATCAGGGTTCTAGTAGTCCTATTCAATTAGTTCTTGGTCAGATGGCCTTAAACTATTCACAAACTTTTCTGGACTTAGTTTTCGTCATCTAAAAGGTAAAGATCATATATCTGACCTATCCATCTCTCAGAAGATTGTGAATGAAAAATTTAAAAAGTAGAAGTACTTTGAATGCTGGATATGTTTTGAATGTGTTATATTAGTTATTTTGTAAGTCAAGGTATATTTTCAAGTCATCATTTTCAAGGGGGGAGCATTTTTTTTATTTTTAGTTTTAATTTCTTTTTTCATTTTATCATTACACAATATAAGCATTTTTTGTGGCCCTTTACCAATTTCTCCCTAACTGCCCTCTCCCCCTCCCCCTTTCCCACCTCTGGTGGTCTCAATTCCATTCTCTCAAGGGGAGCATATTGTGCCAAAAAAAAAAAAAAAAAAAAAAAAAAAACCTGATATGATATGGGTAGTGAGAGATGAGGGGTAGAGTAGTACCTACTATGCAAGTTGGGCACTCAGAAAATTCTTATTGATTATGATGTTTGTTAGTCGCTGGTCAATGTATCATTTGAAAAATTGTCTTAGTGAATGTTATCTTTTCATTTAAATTTTATACTTAAAACTGTAAGTCTAAATTACCCTTCAGTAGGGCATTAATGGTATAATTGCTTTTGGATAATTTTAAATGAATGCATCTTCACCTGGAAAAAATAAAGAAGAAATGAAGCCCTTCCAAGAGGTTGTTCTTGTGTAACAACTTCAGCTTCAATGTATGCATGATTTTCATAATTACCTTTGGTCATTTTCTTTAGTGGTGCTATAAGGGTCATTGCATGTGGAAGAATGCTAATCAACAAAAACAAGACGGCAACTGGGGGTCATGGACCAAATTTGGCTCCTGTTCACGGACGTGCGGAACTGGTGTTCGTTTCAGAACACGGCAGTGCAATAATCCCATGTGAGTATAATCCCTGTAATTCCTGTTATTTTTAGATAGATGAGAAAATACTTCAATATTATTTTACGAGGTACATGTAAAATACAGGACATGAAAACAAATTGTTAACAGTTCATAAACCAGTGTCTCTTTCAGATAAACCTTCATTTATCTATCTTGTGAAGAGTAGTCAATAATGAAGATTAGAGATTCTTGAAGAAAATTGCTGTTTAGGAATATTAAGGAGCTGAGCAGGGAAAGTGGATCACTGTGCCCGCTGTGGCCATAGGGCCTGGGCAGTGTGGGCTGTGAAATCCACTGCCAGAAGCAGGGGAGTGGCAGGCAGGGAGCAGAGCAGTGGTGTGGACTCTCTGCAGGGGCCAGGCTGCCATTGCTTCAGAGGAGGGCGACAGAAAGATTATGATAGAAAGTAAGGAAGATACTGGGGAAATTTATCCATTCATTCACTCAGGATAAACTTATTGAATCCCAATTGTGTGCTCAGCAAGCTTTATTTTCTGAAGGAAAAAAGTAACTGAATTACTAAATTAGGACATTCTTCCTTGTCCAGGGTTTAACATATGAGCATCCCTTTCTGTTTTTAGCAACAGGATGGCTCTGAGCATGTCTTTATAAAGACTATTGGGTGCCACAAACTTGTCTTCACAGAAAGACTTGATAGTAGTGTCAGTAGAGGTTACAAATATAATAAAATTGTGATAATAAGAACAGCTAAAGGTCATTGTGAGCCAGGGTCTATTCTAAGTGCTATAAATATGTTAACTCATTTAATTCTCACATTTTTCCTTTAAGGAAGATAGTTATATTATTTGCATTTTAGATATGAGGAAACTGAGGCATAGAACTGAGATCAAAGTTTCCTTGACTTGCATCTACATGTTTTACACATGGTAAAAATGTATATTTTTCTTGAGTCTGTATACATGCTTTTAATTTTATTATATACATTTGCCATGCATTTAAAATATACTGTTTGGAAAGCTGGTTTAAGTTGAGTTTTTTAGGGTTTTGTTCCCCCAGCAGGGAGAAAAAGGGTACTTTTGGAAAGGGTGCTGGTGGAAAGGGACTGAAATTAGGAAGTATGAGTTCATTCACTTTGTACTGGCAGCTCAGAAGCTCTGGCTGTCTGCCCTCAAGCACCATGTCTCTGTGAGTTTTAACTGCTGAACCGAAGCCAAAAGGCCTTTTTAAATGTTGTCTTTTCTTTAGGCCCATCAATGGTGGTCAGGATTGTCCTGGTGTTAATTTTGAGTACCAGCTTTGTAATACAGAAGAATGCCAGAAACACTTTGAGGACTTCAGAGCACAGCAGTGCCAACAGCGAAACTCCCACTTTGAATACCAGAATAGCAAGCACCACTGGCTGCCCTATGAACATCCCGACTGTAAGCAGACTCCCGCTCCTTTCCTGCTGTGGGAATGGTCACTTAGGATTTAGGCTTTGCCAGCACCAATCCCTTGGACTCTTGGTCCCTACTTGCTAACTTAGGAAACTTGGTGCTTATAGGGGTAAGTCCTCCTGGGTTTCCAAGAATAAGCCTCAAGTACTACTTTTTCTAGAGAGGTAGGAATTGTGCAATAGTTCCTGGCAAACCACACTATCATCATCACCAGTGAAAAGACCAGTGGAAAGTAATGCTTGGGGGAGATGTTGGATTTCCTGATTCAGCTGAAATCCTTCTACTAGGAGATGCTTCTGGAATATTGTGATCTTTCCTTTCTAAATAACTAGAGAAAAATATAGTTCTTTTACAAGTGAGTCAGGACCAAGAAAAAGACCATTATTTAATATTAAAAGGCATTTCAGAATCTTTTACTTTTAGACTGTGAACTAGTTATCTAAAAAACACTTGGAAATTCTTTTTTAATGTTTTACTTCTTACCCCTGAATTTATGGTTAAATATATTCAAATGGAAACTTCTTGCCATATTTCTTATTTGTGTGAATAAAAGAAAATGGTTACATGATTATCATGTGATATAATACGCTACTGGACTCAACGCTGTTTTAAAGGAAAGGCAAATACATGTAGGAATTCAGAGTTGCAATGTATTAAGAAGAAATGCATTACTTTTATTTATTTTTGTGAAATGAGTTGCATAAGTTATATTTGATTAATGAGATCCTACAAGAGGTGAAAACTATGCTAGGTGATTGAGTCAAACCAAAGAGAAATCCTTTCAGTGCTCTAACATTCCTAAAACTAAACTGGTTTTAATAGGAAGTTTATTAAAGAGCTGTGGTGAAATCTAGGGTTGCCATACAAACTGGTTTGTCTGGAGCGGTTCTAGTTCATATCTGTTATCCCTGCTCGACTATTAACAGACCCTCTTCTCCCTCTCAACAGTATCCCAGTTTAGGTGACAAATCATATGATCACCCTAGCTAAAACAAAATGCCACATAATGCATACTTTTCTCCTACTCCTTATTTTATTTATTTATACAGTATTCTTTTTGTTTTCAAGAAACCACACTGAAACTTAATATTTTAAAAATAAAATTATGCTGTTCAGACATTCCATGTTATGTAAATAGTTCATTTTATCCTCCATTTTATGCAGCCAAGAAAAGATGCCACCTTTACTGTCAATCCAAAGAGACCGGAGACGTTGCTTATATGAAACAACTGGTGCATGATGGGACACGCTGTTCTTACAAAGATCCATTCAGCATATGCGTGCGGGGAGAGTGCGTGGTGAGTTACAATCGCTTCCCAGTGCTTCCTGCAGGATTGTGCAATTTACATCTACTACCATTCATCTGCATATTTTAAAATTTTTATCTGTTTCTTATCTGTGAAATCACATTATAATGAGAATCTATGACATAGTTCAAGTAGCTAAAATAAATTTGGGAGAAACTGTGCTTACTAAAATCAAACTTTAGTCCCTGGCAGAATCTAGGTTTACATAGTTTTCCTAATTTCCAGCCAAATGCCTTTTCTAAGTAACTCTGATGCCTCTCTGTTGGGAATACAAGTTGAGAACAAAGCATTTGCTTTGTGTATTTTACCAATAGCCATCTACTATTAAAATACAAGGTCTTTTTAAAAAAAAATTGATGCTAGCTATACTTTATTTTTTGTTTTGAAAGATAATAGAAACATGTTTCTCATGTTCCAATTGGTTCTAAGTTCAAACGCTGAATTCCACATAAGAACAAAAGCAGTGGGGAAGCAAAAACAATGTTTTGCTCCATTTAATCTCTTTTTAAAATTGCAGTTTTTTTTGTTGTTCATGTTCATGGTTAAATTGATATGAAATTATTTTTATAAACTGAAGCACTGCTCTTCTTGTCAATTTCCTTTTCACTTCAGCAAAACTAAAGTGCTGTGTTAATGAGTTTCAAGTACACTTTCAAGTACACATAGTTGAATTAATACTTCCTTGAAAGTCTTGTTAATCTTTTACTTTCCACAGTATCTATTACATGAACTGTATGTGGTTTTATTGCTTTCCCTGCCCACTTTCATCCCAAACTTATGAATGCAGTGGTGTATCATGTATCGTTATCCTACACTGATTTACCTTAAGAACCTGCCCCAGTTTTGAAAATCTTTAGTAGTTCCCTGTTAAATTAATGTGAAAATGTAAACTCCTCCTGGTATTCAAGGCCTTCCATAGCCTGTGCTTTGCAGATCTTTCATTGTCCTTCCTCTATTATGCAATGCTAACTTTCCAGTGGTTTAAATATGGGTTTAAATACTGCTCTCTGAACCCATGTGCCATGTCCATACAACTTCCATGGCTCTGTTTTAACCCCTCTGCATTCCTGAAATGCTTTTCCATTCTCTCTATGTCCCATGAAAGTCTCCACCAATTTTGTGAAGTTTTGTTCACATCCTAACAAACTTTTAAAGATTGCACTAATGTGCGACTCACTGTGTTATCATTCATCTTTACAAATATGAATGCAACAAGGCAAAAAAGCACTGTCTTATAGTTTGTCTTCCCAACACTGGCTACATCAACTTTCAATAAATGTTTGTTTGGTGATTAAGACAATTTGTGATGGAGTAAATACTTCATTAGATTGAGGGAAACGTATCTTTTATTACCTAGAGTACAAGTCATTTGATTTCACATTAGTTCTTTAAAAGACTGAGTTATTAAAAATCATGACTACAGAGAAAGTTTGGTGCAAACTGGTTGACTGTGGGCTGTGATTAAACAAATGGTCCATCGTTCTCTGGGATGTTGACTTCTGCTTGGCACATTAAAATTAGCCACCTTGAACATCTTCTCTCCCCAGAAAGTGGGCTGTGATAAAGAGATTGGTTCTAACAAGGTTGAGGATAAGTGTGGTGTCTGTGGAGGAGATAATTCCCACTGTCGAACCGTGAAGGGGACGTTTACCAGAACTCCCAGGAAGCTTGGTAAGATGAGGTCTCTCATGAACTTGGTATACTTCTCTGTGATTTGTACTCTTGTAGGAATGCAGCATTTTCTATATAAACAGAACAAAAAATTACCTGCTAATTTATTTTTATTCAGTTTACCTTTTAAGGAATTATTTTTTTAAAAACTTGATTGAATTCACACTCCATAGCATCCATGATGGAACAAATAAAATCAATATCAATTATAGTAGTTAGCTAAAATCTGTTTTATTTTTCATATTTAATAAAATACAGATCTAATTATTAGAATTAATGCTTATTTTGAATTTCTGTTGCACATAAATTGTTGACCAGGAATTAAAATGATCAAAAAACTTTAAACATAACTTTTTAAATATTACACTAGTTTTACTTCTTTTATTTTAAAAGTGAACAATTGTATCCTGTTTATAAGTCTATGAATCTAGGATCTATATTTCACATAATTTTAAAGATTTATGTTAAACAAAATCGAGGTACAAGCAAAAAATAACGAGATATAATTGCTCATGTGTGTGAACTTTTGTGCTTGTTGCACAATCAATAACTTGGACTTGGACATACACTGAACGTTCAAAAGGTGTATCAAGGAGCTATGTTCGTGGTACAAATAATATGAAAGAATATCAGTAGTTTCGTAATATTCATTAGAATTTTCATAAATGGTTTAAATACAAACACTTATTACTAAATAATTTCCTGAGTTTGTAACAAACACTCAGTTTTTAATAAAGACTTACTGGGCAAATGTTTCTGGAAATTCAGCGTTTAAAAATATGTTTGGTGTGGCTCTTTGTTGAGAAGATTCTCCTGTATCTTCCAAAGCACTGTCAGTGTATAATTTCTATCAGAATGACAGAAAACAAAAGAAAACACAACAAAAACAAAAACAAGGAAAGAAATTGGTTTACTTTAAGTACATTGTCATTGTGGTCATTTTTCCTTTAAAAGAAGGAAAGCATAAAAAAGTTTAATTCTCTCAGTGTTTTTTACTCCCATTATATTGCTGCTGCCTAGCTCAAGCTAATTCCACATATATTAGCTTTGCTTTTTGATAGATTTAGAATGGCAGAATTAGGTGACTATATTCTAATGTGTTTCTCTTAGGCATTCCCTATTCTAGTCTCTCATGTTTTTGCTATTCCTGTGTAATAAATTTCCATGTTTTGTACTTTGGAAATTGTTAGAAAGTAAATGTTCACATTTCTGGATGATTATATTTTAATTAGGCAAACAGAATTATATAAATATATTATGGTTTTGGTGGCGTTAAATGTAATTTTCTCCATATTGCTGTGAAATAATGTACTGTGCTTTCTCCATTGGCATTATATGCTATACTTTTCTTTTGGATGTAAAATGATTCATTTTGTTTTATTTCCAGAGTAAATTAATGTACGGAAAAAAGTGTTCACCATGATCATTTATTCTGTATCAGGTGTAATATGAGGTAGTGATGTTGTTTTTCAGATACCTCAAAAATTATGCTAAACCAATGAATCAGGGTCAAAAGAACATGAGAAAGTTTTCTTCAGTCATGCAGATTCAAACTGTTCAAAGATAATCTAACATCCATTTCTTTGCACTAATCTTATCTTCACAGTCATTCAATAGACTAATTAACCTTTTCCAACAGGGAAACATTTAAGCAAGAGGTGCCATAAAGAACTCAACTTGCTGGAAAATGAAATCTGCAAGTATTCAACTTCAAATCACCTACATCATTTTGCATTCATGCTTAGCCTTACTTTCATTGACTATTAACAGTTTATTGGCATTAGCTAACTACTGTAAATGCATTTTGACATCAACATATAAAATTACAGTACATATTTTATATCTTACCTAATAAAATATATATTAGGATAGTCAGTGAAACAGCAAGACTTTGATAAACATGAAATCTCCACTAACTAAAGACATTCTATTTAAGGGAAGACGAGAGGCGCTTTCACTTTACCCAAAGGAGCTCGTAGTATTTCTCTTGCTGAAACAAGAGAAGCTAAAAATGTGCTGGGTAAGTTGTAGCAAACCGCAGAAAGATGGGCATCCATAAATGACATTAAGCTGTTTTGCATGTTACTTCTAGCCATTGCGTACTTAGGCGAACTTGGTACATTTCATGTGTTGGACTTAACCCCAGGCTAAGATGCTAAAACCTGATCTCAAAATGACCACTGCATTTAGTTAGAACACTAATAAATATTGTGAAAAAGTTGGGTAAATCTATGCATAGGTACACATTAATTGTACATATACAAATGACAAAAACCACATTTTCCCCCTTATTTCACCAACAAATTGTGTTTTGATAACTGAATTTCTGTCAGTACTCATCCTGTAGTATATCTATTGGATGTTTCATAATCTGCCGAAGGTGCAGGTTGCATAATCTTCCTACAGTCACTTGTTTCTAATGGAAATAAGATATAACATCTTGGTGTCTCTATTTGACTTGACTCTTGTTGATTTATAGTATGGTCTTAATTCTAAGTGATCATAAGATAATTTTTCAGAGATGTAATAATATTTTAAAAGTTTGTCATATATGACATTGACAGTAATAGGAATAATACATGATTTTAAAACACAAAGTGATCAATTAAGCATACTGATTTTATTATTTCTGGCTTAGAAGGTTGAGGTTGGGGTGCATGTAAAGGCAATGGGTGATATAACTTGCACACATTTTTCAACCAAATGGTTTGGTCAAATCTATAACATGTATTTTAAAATAGCCTCATCATAAAACTTGCTTAAAGCTTTAAAATTAATTGCTGGTAACAAGAAAAATGGAAGCTACTCACTGATTTTTCTTTTGTAATTTCTTTATAACAAAATAGCTTTTAAATATGAAAATACTTTAATAATTAGAAGTTTAGCTATTTATACTTGCCATTAGGCTTTTAAAATAATATGTAGACAGATAAATTATATTCTCAAGAAGCTCACTACCTAAGAAAACTTTCACTAAAAATTGGCCATACATTCAAAGGATTGTTTGGAAAACTTGAATCACATACAGGGATACAGGAAAGTACTTGTGTAGAATTTGCCTGAATTGCTGACATAATTCATAGGTTAACACAAGATAAATGACTAATAACTTGGTAACAAAATTAACTCCCCCCTCTTTAATAAAAAAAGTTTCCATTAATCTCACGTCTGATGTCACAGAAGCTGCCAATGCTTTGAAGTTAATTTCTGAAACTGCTTCTTTTGGTTTATGGATGCCCTCTTCTGCACACAGGAGCAGTAGGAGTATAGTGCTCGACTAACCATGGTTGTTGCTTTTTTTTCTTCTTTGCTTCCTCCAATATTTACTACATATGCAAAGGGTACCTTAAGATGTTTGATATAGCCCCTGGGGCTAGACATGTGTTAATCCAAGAAGACGAGGCTTCTCCTCATATTCTTGGTAAGTGTTCTGTCTGCTGGCTCTGCTTTAACATGCACTTAAACACTGAAATGTCAAAGAAATCATATATGTAGAAATATGTGTATGTGTACATACATATGCAAGAATAAAAATTATGTACTAATGCATTAATTGAATATTATGTGGGTTTTGTTGGTCATTTTTCTGACTATTATTACTTAAAAACAAGAAATATCCAAATACAGAGCTTTAATTTTTGGTAGAAACTGAGGTTAGCCTATAATGACAGGAAGGAAAAAAATTATTTGACAAGTTTATAATTGGTTATGCATTTTTGGCTCTGTATTAGGGGTTGAGAAAAATAAATATGTTAAGAAAATGCACCAAATTAAGAAATATTATTAGAAAAATTTATTATATTTATGTTGACAAATGAGTTCTGATATTTTGGTTGATGCCATACTGTGTGCCTCCCCTTATTTTTATCGCATTTTAAGTTCTTTGACTGAGAAGCAACCAAAGGTCAATTTTCCTAATCTAATGTTGAATTTTCCTAATATCTGACATGTGTCAGGTTTTTGACTGGCACAGCAAATCCATTTGCTTGGCTGACTATAATTTCCGAAAAAAGATTCTTTTCCTCTTTTGTGAGAGGATCACATAGAAATGCCACTTTAAAGGGGTTTATGTTTAAAATGTATGTACAAGTGTAAACATAACATTCACATATTGTGTGGCTATTAAAACACTAAGAAGATTTCTGAAACTAAGGCATCATCTATCAACCCCATGGAAATGTGTAGCAAATTGCTTTATTTCATGTGACTTTAAAGAAAAAGAATAGTTTTATAGTATTTCATAGAATTTTTTAATATTTAAATTATATTCACTACTAGATGCCACAGTAGTCTAGTACTTAGCCACAGTTCTTTCTACAGTATTTAAAATTCCTTATTTTTCATCCTAGAATTCAGCTTATTATCCTTGGAAAAATTAGAATAGTTTAAAAGTACAAAAAGAATAAATATATTTAAAATTATATTTTATACACATTTTCAGTAGTGGTAGTAACTTATTAAATTTTGTTTTCTAATTTATCATTATATGCTGATAAACACCTCCAAAATTTAGTATCCCATTTATTACTTTTTACTCACTAAAGAAACATTCTCTTTTATAATATATAATAAATCCGTAGTGCACTAAGAATTCTATCAGCAGTAAGTAGCTTTCTCTAACTCTATAAGTAGGTGATGTGAACTTGGAATTTACAATCATAAGAACTAAATTGCTGCCCTAAAAATTGGATCAACTGTGTTGGGTGGCTATAAAAATTTTGACCAACTTTAAAGAGATGCACAGTAAAGAAAAGAGGCTATTATGCTATATGCTATCCTAGCATAAATTGTTTGTACTAGTTATTGGAGAAATATCCATTCTTTTCAAAATGTTCTCAGCTTTCTGAGGAAATGTATAGGATGAATGAGTTAGAAACTGTTAACCTCTTTGACGATGTTTTCAAATGTGAGTATTTGCAAACATTATTTTTGCCTGTGTAACCATCTTGCCATTGTTCCTGAGTACTTAGAAGTACTTCTTGAGAGTTTTGAATGCCTAATGAAGGAAATGGGAATAATATCAAAACTAACACTCATTTCTATTGCTCGATACTAATAAAGAAACGTAGTCATTGACTTATAGGAGGGGGTAGACTTGCTATGCATCTTCAACACTGTCACATGGTAAAATAAAATGTATGCTAGTTACTCATTTTCCTTCCTTTAGCTATTAAGAACCAGGCAACAGGCCACTATATTTTAAATGGCAAAGGGGAGGAAGCCAAGTCGCGGACCTTCATAGATCTTGGTGTGGAATGGGATTATAACATTGAAGATGACATTGAAACTCTTCATACCGATGGACCCTTACATGATCCTGTTATTGTTTTGGTATGTGGCGTTCTGGTCTCATTGTGTAGTTGGTTTAGTTTATAATTTTATAATTAATTTATCTGAAAACACTTTTACCTCAAACATTGAATATTTAGTTTCTTGTTTTTATGATTCCATTTATCTCATTGTCATATATTTTATTATATTACAATATTATGATTTTGACTTAAGTAAACAGTTGTCTTTTAGAGACAACAGGAAAAGAAAAAGTAGTATTTTATATTTACCTACACATTTACTATTTCTGATGGTCTTTATTCTTTCTTGTAGATCTGACTTTCCACCTAGTATCGTTTATCTTCAGTAGAAAGAACTTTCTTTAGCATTTCTTGTGGTGTGAGTAACTAGTAAAGAATTTTCTCAGCTTTCAATTATCTGAAAATACGAGGGTACTTCAAAAAGTTTATGGAAAAATAAAATTGAAAGATAATACGAAACTTTCCATGAACTTTTTGAAGTACCCTTGTAACTTACTTCACCCTCATTTTTAAAGGACATCTTCACTAGGTAATAGAACTTGGGATTGTTATTTTTGTTTTTTTTTTATTTCAGCACATGAGAGGTGTTTTACAATCTTGTATGGAGTTCAAGGGATTTGGGGGGCTGATCAAAGAAAATATATGACCACAAGGTGGCAGTAACACATGCAAGCTTTGGCTGAGGCAGGTTTGCAAGTGGGGCCACCACCCAGAGGAGAGAAGAGCAAGGGGACTCCAGAGGAACAGGGGAATCCAAGAGGGGGTTAAGTGTCTAGGTGATGTCATTCAGCAGTGCACTGGGGAGTCTATGGCCCAAGGAGTGTAAAGGGCAGCAGCAGTAGCACAGCCTGGGGTCCTTATAGCCACAAGGTCTTATTTACACCTAGCAGAGGTTGAGTGCAGTTCCTAGAGGTATGCAAAGAAGGCAGCAGACTTTACATGCCTAAAACTTTTCCTGTTGGGCTACATTTAATTGGACATGCACAATTTTGCGTTTGGCATAGGTGGGTTTTCGAGCTAACAGGGCTCAGCCTGCTGTCACGAAATAAACAACCTAGGGGCCAATATATAGAAGCCATCTTTAACTCATTTATATAGCATTTTTCTTCTAGAATCTGTCATTTATGATGAGACAGCCTAATTTATATTGCTGCTCTGTATGTAATGTGTCAATTTTCTCTGTATGCTTTTTAGTTGGTTCAGCAGTTTGATATACTTAGTTTGTGGTTTTCTTTGTATGTATTATGCTTGGGTTCACTGAGAATCTTGGCCCTGGAAGTTACTGTTTTTCACCAAATTTGGGTAAATTTTTAATTATGTCTTCAAGTTAGTTGGGTTTTTTCCTTCCTCTTTCTCTTCTCTATTGGAACGCATTTACATGTATGTTAAACCACTTGAAATTGTTCCACAAGTTTCAGGCTTCTATAATCCTTTATAATCTTTTGTAAAATATGTTTTTCAGATTGGATAATTTCTTTTGAGCTCTCTTTAAGTTCACTGACATTCTTATGTGATCTCCAATGTGTCCTTGAGCCTATCCAATAGATTTTTCTTGTCAGACGGTGTACATTTTTTCTAGAATTTCCATTTGTTTTCATTTGTTGTAATTTCTATTTCTCTACTGAAATTCCCTTATAGGTTCACTCACTCATTATGTCTAACTTATCCTTTAAATTCTGGGTCTTCATGTTGCCTGTTTCTATTGGCTGCTTTTTATTTATTTATTTATTTATTTTTTTGATTATGGGTCACATTTTCTTGCTTCTTATTTTTTTCTTGTACACTGGACATTATGGGGTTTCATTTTGTTCTGGCAGGCAATTAAGTTATTGTCAGATCCTCCTGATTCTTTGAGGCCTGGTTTTATTCTTCATTAGAGCTGGTCTGTTTCAATCTTGTCCTTATTCTTATGGCATGGGCTTTCTAGTGCTTTAAGTAAGTACCTCAAGTGTTCCTGAGGCCTCTTTGCTCTGACTGGATAAAAATTCCTACCACTATCAGCATGCCAGACCTCCACTACTTCTGCCCCACTGCCAGCCCCATGACAGCTGTTCACTGATATACCACATGGTGTCCTGGCCTTGGCCTGGTGGGCTCTTCCTCCCTGTGCCAGGGTCCAGAACCTGGCACCTGTCAGGAAGAGAGAACTGGCTTGTTTCTCTTCTCACAAGGATCACTGTCATTTGCCGCGTTATCCTTTGCCAAAAAAAGTTCCCTCGTATATTCTGTCCAGTTCTACAGTATTTAACATCAGGAAGGCAATTCCATTACTTCCTCATGGATGAAAGCAGAAGAAACTTACTTAATTTGAAGTGTATTGTTAGATTCTGTATACAAATATTTATTGGACTGTCTCTTTAAAAATTTTACTAATCTAAAACCAAGTTTTCCCAGTCAATTTTAAGTCTTTTTTTTTCCCCTTTGAAAATAATTTCCTGTTTGAAGTGTCTGTTCAAATTGTTTGCTCATTGTTAAAGAAAATTGGTTTTTTCTTTCTTTTTGTTGCATTTTGGGAGCTCTCTATGTATAAGTTCTCTGTGAAATATGTGATTTGCAAAATTCCAATCCATAGCTTGTCTTTTCCTTCTCTTAGTTTCTTTCATGGAACAAAATATTTTAGCTTTGCTGAAGTCCAGTTTATCAATTTTTTTCTTTATGGATTGAGATTTTGGTATTATGGAAGAATTTTTTTTGCCTAATCCAACATCAAAACATTTTCTCCTACTTGTTTTTGATAAAAGTTTTATAGTTTTACTTAGGTTTATGAACCATTTTGAGTTAATTTTGTATAAAATGTTAGGTTCTTATTTTTGCATATTTATATCAATATTAGTTATCCATTGCTGCATAACAAATTATCCCCAAACTTGGTGGCTAAACATAAGCAACATTTATCTCATAGTTGCTGTGGATCATGTGTCTGGAATCAGCTTATCTGACTAGTTCTGACACAAAGTATTTCATGAGGTTGCTGATGGTTGTGGCTGTAGTCACCTCAAGGCTTGACTGGAAGTGACTTTAATTCCGAGTACAGGGATATGGCTGTTGAAAGGGCTCACAAGATTGCTCCCAAGCTTTTCAGTGTGGTGGCTGGCAGGCTGCTTAAGTGTCCTCATGATTTGTTACTGACTTGCACTAGAGCAAGCAATTCAAGTGACAGAGAAAATGAGACAGTGCAACCAAGACAGAAGTTACAGTCTTTTTAAACCTAATCTTGGAAGTGACTTCCCATCACTTCTGCTGTTTTTCTCTGTACTAGAAGCAAGTCATTGAGTCCAGCCCACACTGACAGGGAGAGGAATTAAGCTTCACTTACTAAGGGGGAAAATATCAAGGGACTTGTGGGCATATCTTTAAAACCCCCACAATGTCCAGTTGTTCCAGCCGTATTTGTTGGAAAGACTGTCCTTTGTCTATTAAATTGCCTTTTCATTTATGTCAAAATTAATTGTCTAAATTTATGTGGGCATATTTCTGGGCTCTCATTCTGGTCCATAGATTAGTTAATTTTATAGCAAAAATATGTACAAATCAAAATTTTATTTATTTTAAGTGTGAATGATTAGAGATCAGAAGCTCTATTTCACTTTCATACAATGGGTCTTTTAAAAGTTTATGGAAAGATTCATTCATATTATCTTGTAGTTCATTTTTTCCATGAACTTTTTGACATACTGTCATATAATTACACTTTCATTTTTTTCCAGCAAACGGGTATCTGATGCTTAACCTCCGTGATGGACTCCCTCAAGGCTTTGCCATCTGGTTATAACGTGACCACTGAGAGTGCTGTGGGCTAGAGATATAAGGAGATTCATAGCTAGGAGATGGGGGTGTGGACAAGCAGTGTTCTATCATCATGGCCTTTCTTTTCCTCTGTAAAAGACTGGACCCCCGGGTTTGGAGCACGGAACATGGTGGCTAGGCTGTCTGGGGCTGAGAGAATTAGACATGTGGCTAGAGTTTGAGGGTTGGTGCTTGATTTTTAATGCTGTTTTAAAAATAAAGACTAAGGAAAAAAGAGAACAGAACACAGCTAACCAGATCTTTCACCCCAGCGGATCTAGTATCACTTGAATTGTCAAACAAAAGCTGTTTCTAAAAGTTTAGTTTAAAATACAAATGAATTGCACATGTTTCTCCCTTTGTATAATTGTTTCAATCCTATAAACATGACATGAAAGTCAATTAAAATGTATGGGTTTTTGGTTTGTTTTTATTTCTTAAAAACTGCTTTGCTCTAAACAAAGTTAAAAGGCAAATAACAAACTAAGAAAATATTTGCAATTCTTATTACAAAAGGGATTAATGCCTTTAGTGCATAGATTATTTAGAAAATAAATATCCAAGTGCCGATAAAAAAGAGGACTGATGATCATGCAATGCACAGTAGACAAAATACAAGTGATAAACTTAGGAAAATTAAACTTTACTGGTTATTATGTAAATAAAATTGAAAAATGATCTTTTTCCCATCCACTTAATGAAAGTAAAATTACATAATATGTAGTGCTGAATGGGGATACATTCATATACTCTTATTATGAGATAACAATTATTTTAACTATTATGGAGGGCCATTTAGCAGTCTATTACAAGAACTATAAAACGTGTTTGTACCCTTTGGTGTGCTAAGGAAAACCAGAAATCCTCACAAAGGTGGGGACAAATGCTAACTAACATAAATATTCATTAATAAGTAGATGGTTAAATAACACATAACACCTTTAGGATTAAAGACTGTGATGACATTTAAAAGCATGTCTTCAAAGAATATTTATTATCTTGGAAAATGTGCATGACACATTATGTGAAATAAGCAAGGCCAGAAAAGTATTCATGTCTGTGCACTACACACACATACACACACACACACACAGAGTGCAAATATTTTGAGGGAATCTCCAAAAATAACAAAAGTTACTTTGATTTTCTCTGGTTTGGTAGAATTATGGATGATTTATATTTTCTTTGTATTTTTCCATAATGTGTGTATTTTCTGGTGGGAACATTATTATTTTTATCATCATAAAACAGTTATTTTTTAAAAAAACAATTTTTAAATGCACTAAGGAGATAGTATAATTTAAGGAAAACTACAGTGAATCTAATAAAGAATTTGTTTTTATAATCAAACTCTTCCTCCTCAGTGTATTTTTTTTATTTATTCAAAGTATTATATATTTGCATTTTATTCTTAACCAGGGTACACTTGCACTTTACTGGATAGAAACAAAACCATATTTTAGAAACTACTTGAAAGTTTTCCAGTTTTAGTAAGAGCAATACGATGAAATATTTATAACTTCTTACTCAAAATTTAAAACCCTCAGGTGACTTACATATCGATTTCATGTGCATGTTAGATTATACCTCAGGAGAATGACACCCGCTCTAGCCTGACGTATAAGTACATCATCCATGAAGACTCTGTACCTACGATCCACAGCAACAATGTCATCCAGGAAGAATTAGATACTTTTGAGTGGGCTTTGAAGAGCTGGTCTCAGTGTTCCAAACCCTGTGGTGGAGGTAACAATTGAACATTTATTATATTAATATGTAACTCATATAAAAGCCAATCTTGCTTCTACCTTAAGGACTGTCTCTAATTGAGGCCACAATCTGAGAAACACCAAACAAAAGAACCAAAAAATGAAGACAAAATATTTTTACTGGAATCTCAGACTCAGCAAGGGGTAGGATTCCATTGATTTTAAGGTAGAACTTAAAATTCTCTTGCCATTTTCTCTCATGTTCTTTATGTCTTGCATTCACTGCAGTGATGCCCTTAATCACTTTACTCTTTCAAAACTCCAGGACTCTCCCAAATTTAGTGTGTTCTGGTTCTCACCTTTCTTTTCCATTTTCACTTTCCATATCTATACATTTCTATCCATGTTAATAATAAGAGCTATTAGTTACATATAACTATGTAGCTGACTATGCTTTGTATTTGGAACCAGACGCTGTTCTAAATGCTGTCTGTATCAATGCATGAATACTCACAATGGCCCTCTGAGATTGGTACTCTCATTATCTCTGTCGTACTGATGGTGAAACTGAAGCACAGGGAAGACCTGTAATTTGCCCCAGACTGTAGGATTCAAACCCAGGTAGCCTGGCTTCTGAGTACACACTCTTACTGCCTACTCAGTGCTGCCTCTCTGCCCTATCCAGAGTAAATCCATTAAGCTGGAATTAGTGTTTCTCAATTTCTCCCATCATCCATTCCTCTAGTTCTGAACAACAAGTGCTCCAGTACCAAGCTGGCCTAGAAAAATTTCTTCCCAGTGAGCAGAAGGTGAGGGGCTGTCACAAAAAAGACAGTGAATAATGGAGATCCAAAAAATTGTTCATAGTTGGGAATGCCTGAATAAACCATTTACTTTATAATTTTTAAGTTCAAAGATATATTTCTAAAGTGAGTGTGTTGTTTTTGGTAGAGTGCATAATATATGTTTAGTTAATTATTTTAAATGATACTCTAGCTGATGCTTGTTTAGTTTGGATCCTGCCTTCTGCTGTACTCTCAACATCTGCTTGGTACATCAGGCTTTGTCAGACACATCGTCCTCATATGTACCATACCTATTCCTTCCTCACCAGGCTTCCTTCACTATTTTGGAAAGAAAGATTATTGCAACAGCCTCTTAACTAGTCACTTAACTTTGATTTTCTTCTCTTCCTTTATTTCCAGGGTAATCTTTCTTGAATAAATGCATGCGTCAATGAATGAATGAATGAGTGGCATTATATTGTTTTCCTGATTAAATTCCTCCAATCTCCTAATGTGCTGCCCTGAAGACACACATCATTTTATGTGCTATTCTTGCCAAAAGTGAATAACCTGAATCTCATCATTAGGAGATAATTAATCAAATCCAAATTGTGAGACATTTTACAAAGCAACTGGCTTGTACACTTCAAAAATATTAAAAGTCAAGAAAGACAAAAAGAGGTTCAGATATTTCTTATTGATGGAGGCTAAAGAGACAAGACAGTTAAATGCAACACATGATCCTTGATTGGAAAAGCATTACTATAAAGAACAGTTATAAGGATGGCTGAAAATTTTGAATATGGTCTGTATATTATATAGTAGCATAATATCTGTGTTAAATTTCCTGATTTTAAGAATTATATTGTAGTTATATAAGAGAATTTACTTATTATGAAATATGTGCTGAAATATTTAGGAGTAAAGGAACAGGATATCTGCAACTTACCATAAAAGGGTTCAACAAACGAATATATATCAGTATATATAAAGAAATATGGCAAATGTGGTGGCATGGTAACAAAAGATTAATCTAGATGCAAGATATACAAATGTTCATTGTACTTTCCTTGCAACTTTTTTATAGGTAGGTTTGAAATTATTCCCCCCAAAACATATATATAATTACAAATGTCAAAGTTGGTGGTTGGGAGACCCCCTTCAGTAACTCCCTGTGTCCTCAGGATAATGTCCAAACACTTGTCTGGCACGCAAGGCTTTCAAGATCTGATCCTTTCCTGTCTCCTGCCCTTTTCACACATGATACTTCAGCCATACGAAGGACTTGCAGTTTTCTATATGTTATTTTCTTTGTGTAGAGTCTAATTCTGCTTCATTTGCTTTACCCAATACTGTTTGAACTTCAAGATTCCGCTCAAGAAAGTGCTGATCTTGTAAGCTTTCCCTACCCTTCTCTGGCTGTCAGAGACCTTTCCCTCTGTGTTCCTTTGGTGCCCTTTACAGTAAGTTATTTACATAGCCTATAAAAGCCTATGTCACAAGCCATTGTCACAGTGGTTTTCATATCTGTTTCTCACACTTGTCTGTGTTTATTCAGAGTCTAGTTCATTAATAAGAGTACAGTTGCTGCTTAATAATCTGTAATATTTATTAAATTGTAGGCTCTGAGAGGATAAGGATTTTTGTTAATTCACTTTGGGACTTCCAGCACCTATCACAATACCTGGCTTATTGTATGCACTCAAAAATATTTATTTATCAAATGAATGAATGTATGAATTAATTAATAAGTAATTCAATACCTGATAGCATGAGTAAGTAATTAAGTCCAAAGAAATTTATTTCCTTTTCCAGGTTTCCAGTACACTAAATATGGATGCCGTAGGAAAAGTGATAATAAAATGGTTCATCGCAGCTTCTGTGAAGCCAACAAAAAGCCGAAACCTATTAGACGAATGTGCAATATTCAAGAGTGCACACATCCACTGTAAGCCTTTACTTTAACTATTATGTCCTGAGGTCAAAATAGGGGTTTAAATGTCTTTAGCTCTTTTCAGTTTTAGTTTTATTTTTAGTCAAAGCTGTGCCTGCACCTGGTTTAAATAGTCAAATCATTTCATAGGAATTATATAAAGCTGTAGTTCCCTGCCTCTCATCATTTTCCTGCTCCTGAAAAACAACCATTTTTAGCTGTTGTGTTTCTTTTGATATTTGGTAATTACTTGTTTCCATCTCTCTAAGTAAAATGTTTTTGCTTCTACTCCTTGAATTTTGGGGTGGACCTGGGGAGTTAGATATTGTATACTGAAGTTCCACCGCAGAATGTGAGGGTTTAGCATTTTTCTATGACCCCTCCCCAAATGCACGCCCAGCGGCCACAATTTTTCCTCCCCCAGTACTGCCAGTAGTCAGCTTACATGCCTTTTACTCATGTTAATATTCATGGTTTATATTATTTTAACATGTGTCTCTCTTAATAGCTGAGTCCCATAGCATGTTCTGATTATATTTCCTTTCTTCTAGAACTTTGTTTCTTTTCGAGTAAATGAATGTCTTGATTTTTTTTGCGTTTGGTTTTCTACTGCTTTTCACTAATTCATCCCCAAACTCTCTTTCTATCCTAAGTGTCAATCCCCTCCTAATATTCAACACTCAAGTGTTCTGTCACTTTCATCTCCATGGAGACAGAAGAGTTCTTAGCAGAGAGTTCTGTGTGTTCCAGCTCGAGTCTGGACTTTGACCCAGCTATGATCCTGGGGTTTCTTTTCACCCTCCTCCTAGAGATTCCCACTCTCTCTTGTACAGGATCTCTTATCTCCTGCAGATGTTGTCTTCTTTTTTTTTTTTTTTTTTCCTTTTTGTCTTTCTTCGTGTCCAGCAACGGACTGCAACCCTCAGTGTCGCGCCCGCACCGGACCGGGACCGGCAACGGGATCGCAACCCTTGGTGCTGCGCCCGCCCCTCGCTCAGCCAGTGAGCGGGAACCGGTCTGTATGTGGGATCCGAACCCTCGGCGGGAGCGCCGCCGCGCTCCCAAGTGGCGCACCGTAGCAGTGCGCCACCGGGCCGGCCCAGATGTTGTCTTCTTACCTCTTAATTCGTTCATTCATTCCAGTAGGTCCCGTCGTCCAGCAGTTTCATGAAAAAAAATCTATACAAAGTAAAATTTTCATATAAGAATTAAATTCTTAGACCACCTAAGAAAAGTCATAAGAGGTTAAAGTGTAAGATTATGAGGAAATCTTTCTTCTCTCTCACTCCTGATCATTTGGAGACACACACATACGTATACAATGCCAAACTCTAATTTATTTTGCCTCAGAATCTTGAAAATGTTGTTCCATTATTTTCTATACCTGAGTGTTGCTGTTGAAAAGTTAGTTGCCATTCTGATTCTCATTTTTTCTACATAGCCTGTTTTTGTTTGTCTTTCAAAGTTTATAAGATTTTATTTTTGTTTTCAGTGTTCTGAAATTTCATGGTGGTAAAATTGCCATGGTGCTTCTCTTTCCTCATCTATTGTGATCTTTTTTAAATTGACTAATAATAATCTTGTATATTTATGGTGTACAATGTGATGTTTTGATATATGTATATATTATGGAATGAGTAAATCAAACTAACACATCCTCCTGACATTTTTATGTTTTGTGTGTGTAGTGCAAACATATAAAAACTGCTCTCAGCAATTTTGAAGTATACATTACATTATTATTAACTATAGTCACCATGCTGTGCAATAGATCTCAAAAATATTCCGTCTAGTTGTAACTTCTTACACTTTGACCAACATTTTTCCATCCTCTCCCAAATCGTCACCCCACCCCACCCCCACCACCAAACAGCCTCTGGTTACCACTATTCTGCTCTCTATTTCTATGAATTCAACTTTTAAAAATTCCACACATAAGTGAAATCATGCAGTACTTGTCTTTATGTGCCTGGCTTATTTCACTTAGCATAATGTCTTCCAGTTTCATCCATGTTGTTGTAAATGACACTTGCAGACTTTTTAAAACATAAAAACAATAACTTTCATCTCTTGGAGATTTTCTTATATGTTTCTTTGAAAAATTCCCTGTATGTTTTTCAGTTATCTTTCTTTAGGGCATTTTGTAGTTTGGCTTTTTCATTGTTCCACTTGCTGAATTTCTCATTTTTGTTATTGTATAATTAATACCTGGGAGCTCTGTTTTGTTCATTAAGTATTTTTCAAGGCATTGGATTCTTATTTCACAGATGCAATATACTTTTATCATTTTTAGGTTATTAAACATTATTTCCTTTTTCATGCATTACTTCTTTTGAGTTTTTTTCTTCTGCTCCCCCCTCCCTTTTATCTAGTTAATCAGTCAGTATGTAATTGAGGCATGCCATTTACTCATCTTTTCCAAAGTTACTTTCCCTCTGCATTTTTTTTTTCTTTCCACATATATGAGGCACCAAAATATAATCATGCTAGAATTTCGGTGGTCTTTGGTATTCATAGTTTAAGTCTGCTGTAGTATGTCAAACTGGCAATAAAATGTATTGTGATGGCTAGACTAATGAGTTTTGCTCAATTTTGAAGACCTCAGTAGTGACTCTTATTTAAAGGCAAATATTATATGAGGCATACAGTTCATAAATATAGACACTTCTGATTACCAGATAGAATCAATGGTGACAGCCCTTTAGGACTCAGTAACCATATGTAACAGAGAACTGTCCAAAATATATTATTTACGACTGATTTGGAGAGTGCTTAGAGCATCAACATTGACACTAGAATTTGGAAATGTCCCATGGGAAATCTTTTTGAAAATGTCTCTCTGGAAATATTTCTATCAGGTGCACTTGTGGGAGCCCTTTCTACCCAGCCCTGGGTACAAACTACCTTTACCTCTTTGTCAGGCCCAGTAAGGGCCAATAAGAATAACTGAATTATCCAAGCAGAACAGATACGTCAGGCAGTCTTCACAGCAACAACTGTAGAAGTTAAACAGTCATCTCAGTTGAAATATTAAAACATGAGTAAACTCTACAGGTTTTATGAAAAAGTAGCAGCAACCAAGTCAGTTTTTCATAGCAAGTATCAGATGGATTTCTTTTTTTCTTCATTTTTCGGATGTTTGACACCATTTAGCAATATTAGTGAGTTGGTGCTATTTTTGAAAACCACCTTCATGCCTGAACCCAATAGGAAAACCGTAAAGACGGGTTTCAGAAACCCTCTCTAGATCATCCTTTAGGAAAGGAGAAGTTTTCAGGAGAAGGCAGAAAATATAGGAGGGCATTAAAATGGAAGTGTCAGGCCTATTATTGTCCGACAGTTGTATGATGCATGTATCTTTCTGAAACCAAGTCTGGATCTGCGGCGTGCCCCACTAAGTTGCAAGTCACTCAGAGAGCAGAAGAGTCTAGGCTTTGCAGGAATGCGCACACGACACCTCCCAGTGACAGTGTTCAATCTTACCCCCCTGCTCCCACAGCTGGGTAGCGGAAGAGTGGGAGCACTGCACCAAAACCTGCGGGAGTTCCGGCTATCAACTTCGCACTGTGCGCTGCCTTCAGCCCCTCCACGATGGCACCAACCGCTCTGTGCACAGCAAGTACTGCCTGGGTGACCGTCCTGAGAGCCGCCGGCCCTGTAACAGAGTGCCCTGCCCGGCCCAGTGGAAAACAGGGCCCTGGAATGAGGTGGGTATGGTGTAAGGTGTGTGTGTGAGCGTGTGTAGCATACTGTAATTTGGCTTCGACACCAGGTAGGCTTTGTGTGAGCTGTTACATGTTTTGTAATCACCTGGAGGTGTTAGGAAAAATTAATACTTTAAAATAACATTTGCATTTAAGATGAGTTGTGACATAGAGGAGTCTGAAAGGTGACTGGTCTTCTGTCTAATATCTTTGTTGACTCCCCTATTCCTTCAGGATAAATTCCAAACACCTGACACTGAATGCAGGGCTCTGCCCTGTTTGGCACTGCCCTAACTCCTCTTCTTTTGTCTTTTTTCATTCTACCCTAATTCCTCTTATTTTATCTTTCTTCATTCCAACTCTTTGTGCCAGTTTGAGTAAACTCCTCACTGCTCCAAACAGACCATGCTTGTTGGAGCCTCCTGCCTTCTGGCTGGCTCGCGCTGTCCCCTCCTCCTCTCTGACAATCTCCCCCTCATCCAGCAAGACTCATCTCCACAGTCCAATTACCACCTTCCTGGAGGTGACTTTCCTGGCAGTCGCTCCTGTGCATTTGGAAGGGAGCACAGCTAACCTTTCTTTAGTGTGCTGCTCGTGGCTGAGTATTGTAACTCCTGTCTTTGAGTCTGTGCTTGCCACTAGTCCTCACATGTCTAAAAGCAGTGCACTCTGCTTCCCCAGCACCAGGCAGTGCCAGGCATATGGCCCCTGCCCAGATGATGTTAGTTTGGTGACTGGCTGACTCAGTGTCACCTTGCCTGTACAGTTACCACCTGTCTTTGGTATTTCTAAAGACTCAAAATAAAGAATCATGGGGTCATATGAGAAGAATTTATAGGAGGAAAGGGCATCAAAAAGCAGATACAGAATGAATGAAAAAGTAGAGAGTAGGGCCTGGAAGGAAGGAACAGGCAAGTGAAGGTCACGTACAGGACAGTGAAGATGTCTCATGTCCCATTTCTCCTCAGAGTCGGGAAACAGAGGTCCCTTTTTCACAGCTCCTACCTACATCAATAGCATGGAAGATTCTGGGGTTTGTTTTAGAGCAATAAGCCCCTTCATTAGAGAAATGAACTGATGGAATAGAGTAATCATTCCAAAGAGGTTGAGTTAACCAAAGTAGCATGTCAGCAAACTCTGCCATCTGAAAGGAAGATGAAGGAGTGGGGAGCGGAGTGCCTTGATCTGCTCCCAGAAAACAGGCACAGCGGCTGATTTTAGGAACTCCAGCAGGTACTGCCGTCGTCATAGTGACGGCTTCTTTTTCATGGGATGTTTCCTCAGTGCTGGGCATTGTGCTGCTGCTTTGCACGCATTGCTCCTTTTGCCTTTATTTAGTCCTACAACAGTCCTGTGAGGCAAGTATTGTTATTCCGGCTTTCCAGATGAGGAGGCGGAGGCTCTTAGAGAGAAAGCAAAGAGCCTGGGCTGGTAAATGCTGAAGCCAGGTAAAAGCTCAGGATTCACTGTCTTCAAAACCACTGTGCAGCACCGTCTCAACACAGTAAGAACTGCAGAGCTCTGTGGGTGTGAGCACGGGTGTGAGCACGTGTGTGAGTACCTGTGCACGGTCTTGGTGGAGTGAACATCTGTAATGGCAGCCCTTTGTTTCTGTAGTGTTCAGTGACCTGTGGTGAAGGAACAGAGGTGAGACAGGTCCTCTGCAGAGCTGGAGACCATTGCGATGGAGAAAAGCCCGAGTCAGTCAGAGCCTGTCAGCTGCCCCCCTGTAATGGTAGGTGTGACACTGATTGATTTCACTGCTCTGATGATGTTTTTAAAATTCAAAAAGCAGACTTTCCTTTCAGGGTAAGCTCTAGGATTTTATTTGCTTATTGAGAAATAACTAAAGGGAAACACCCTCCAAATGTTAGCCTAATATGGTTCTTTAAGATGAGTATTTGAGGAAATGTCTCACAGAGTTGAATTATTATAACCTCCGTGACCCTGCCCTTCCTATTAGCTGGTGACACTAGGGTGAGGGTTGTGGCATTTATGAAGTCAATTTGTGTTTCTAGGCAGGACTAATTATTTTTCTCTGTTATATTCTTTAACTAAACTTCATATCATTGTAAAAGGCATAATATTGCAGATGGTTTTGAAATATATTGCTAAAATTACTCAATTTAGACATTCGGACAATAAATGTCACTCAACTCTAAAGACATTTACAATTACTGTCCATCATATACATGATGATTTCCAAATAAACACCTTGTGCATATGCTATAATTATCACTTACCTGACCTACCAATTTGCTGTATTGCAAAACCAGAGTAATTTTTCCTTATTTTAAAATATAAGTGGATTTGCTTTGTTAAAACAAACTAAATATATGAGATGCTTTCAGTCACTTTCACTGTCTCCTTCTGCCCCCTTTTTTCTGTCGCTTTCTCTGTTGACATCTGCCTCTGTCCCTCCCTGTCTCATTCCATGTCTCCATCTTCTCTCCTTTGTCTCTCTCTTATTTTCCATGTCTCTCTTGCCCCCTGTCTCTGACATGCTGTCTTTTGCTGTCTGAATGCCAGTGACTTTCTCTGTGTCTGTCACACGTACTATTTCAGCCTCACTCTCTCTTCTTGCTTTCCCTGCCTCTCCCTCTCAGTGTCACTAACGCTACCTCCTAGCTCTTCTCTCTTCGTCTCTCTCTCCCATGCCTCTCCCTGCCGCTCCCACTCCGTGTCTCTCTCTGTCTCTCCATCTCCCCAGCCCCTCTGTCTCTCCCTGTCTCTTGTCTCCTCCACTGCTTTAGTCTCTTTGGGCTGTTATAACAAAATACCTTAGACTGGATAATTTATTTTTAAAAAAAAATACAATTTTGGAGGCCAGGCAGTCCAAGATCAAGGCCCTGGCAGATTCAGTGTCTGGTGAGGGCTTCATAGATGGTGCCTTGTTGGTTTGTGCTCACGTGGTGGAAGGGGCCAGGGAGCTCCTGGAGCCTCTTCTGTCAGGGCACTAATCCCATTTATGAGGGCTCTTCACTCATGACCTAGTCACCTCCCAAAGGCCTCCCCTCTTAATACCATCACTTTGGGGGTTAGATTTCCACATATGAATTTTGGGAGGACACAGACACTCAGACCATAGCACTCACCTTCTTTCTCTCTTTCTCCCAGCACACTGGTCTCTACTCTTTCATCTCTGTTTTACTCCCCGTGTCTGTCTCTTTCTCCCCCATCTCTTTCTCTCTTCGTGTCCCCTCCACTACCCTGTCTTTTGCTCTTCCTGTTTCACTCTCTCTACCCAATGTCTCTCTCTCTCTTTCTGACTGCCTCACTTTCTCTTCCTTGTCTCACACTTTCTCTCCCTCCCTTCCTTTCCTGACTCATCCATCCTCCACCACAGCCCACCATAGCCTTCCTCTCACATGCAGTTCTCCTAACTCCATGCCTAATGACAACTGTGGACATTGCTTCGACATACTGATAACACTCAGGACCAAAGAAATTGTTTTTTCCTTGGCCTGCAACACCATAAGTAAGCCACTGATTGAATATTGACATATGCTGAATGGCACTTTATTTTATTCAAGTAAATTGACAAGGCACTATCTTATCAAGTGTTTTATTTTTTGAAGAAATTTCAAGCTTCAAGTCTTTAAACCTTATAAATTGTTTCATTATAAATTTTTATTTGAAATGTGTGGTGGCAAGAACAAGTATGACCATGAGGGGGAGACATAGGACTTATATATTTAATCATTTTATTTTGGAAAGTATATTTGAAAGCTCAAAACACAAGTCAAAGCCAAAAGAACAAGCTTTACCCGGTTAGAAGCATTAAAGCTTACTGTCGTCATATTTTATTCTTATGTAGTCATTAGTGTCAGAAGGGTAACCACTTTGTGATTAAGCTTTATTGAACTTAAAAGCCGGTAGAGCTATGCATTTCTGCAAATGTGCCCAATTATCAGCAAGAATTTGCTTTATTCTCCTCCTTTATCCAGAAGAAAATATTTTCATTATAAAACCAAGGTGCTGGTAAGATAGCATAACCATGCTAGTGATTCCACATTCCTTTTAGCTGCTGTGCTGCTCTGAACTCTAGGCCCAAAGGCCAATTCTAAGAGTCCTAAAAGACCTTTTATATTTCTACCATATTTTAATCAGATAACTAATACTTCCCATCAGAGTCTAAAACAGCTATTAGAATCAAATATCCATTTGAGACTGTAAAACTCTTTTCTTGAAACTTCTTATGATTATTTAGGGCTGGAGTGAGAAGGCTGAAAAGTTTCCTTAATTTTAATGATTGATTTTGTCATGTGACTCCATATCATAAGTCCCATTTTGATTGTACTATTTAATTGTTTGCCTTTAAGCCCTTCTCATCTATTCCTAAGCAAATTTCCATAACACTCATGTCTTTCTTTGCTTGTATTTGTTCTTTCTCTGAATATCTCTCCCTCTTCCTCCTCCCCACAAGAGCGTATTGTGGCCCTGATGAGACCCAGGCTATGAACAGGGCTGTGCAATGCCAAAGGGCTCCCACTTGGAAACAGGAGGCTCTCACACGGACTCCTTCTCTAATGCAGAGAGAATATTCACACCTCAGAACAGGGGTGGTGAGTGCAAGGGGTCAGAGGAAAAGGACAGTACAGGGTCAAATAAGGTCCTCTCATCCTAGGGCCTAGAGCCTTAAACATACAGGCATAAGAAATTGTCTTATTTTAACATATTGGCATAGAAAAGGTAATTCACAAATGATAAGGAATTGATAGTTGAGGTGAAACCCATTCATGTAATTCTCAGGCATTCATAACATGATTAGATAATGACCTTGGTCAATATGAAATATTCAGATACATCATACTGTCTAATAGGACTATAAATGTCAAGCAAACATGAGTCCTTCCACAATTTGGGAAGTGGACATAGTATTACAGCTCTAACAAAGGTGGTCATTTTAGTCCTCGATAGGTTTTGCCAACTGACCTCCTTTATTCCTTTTTTTTAGCTTTAGAAAAAAGATTCTTCTTGGGCCGGGCTGGCCCGGTGGCGCACTGGAGAGTACGCCGCTTGGGAGCGCGGTGGCGCTCCCATCGAGGGTTCGGATCCCATGTGGTGACTGGTTCCCGCTCACTGGCTGAGCGTGGCGCGGGCGCAACACCGAGGGTTGTGATCCCATTGCCAGTCCCCGGTACGGGCGCGACACCGAGGGTTGTGATCCCGTACCGGTCAGTAAAAAAAAAAAAAAAAAAGGAAAAAAAAAAGAAAAAGGATTCTTTGATTTCTTTGGCGAGTTATACAGCAGATTCCTTACCTAGCAATATAGTAGTACTAAATAATACATGATATTTTAAGTAATTCTGTTGCATGAATGCCACAATCGACAGTTCTTTGCATTTGTTAATTGGACACCGGATCAGTATTTCTGTGTTGCACATCTATGGGGATGCTACTCGCCACATTGGCTCCACGTGTCAGAGAGCCATGGGATATGGCTCCGTTCCATTGGGTATGCCTTGGAATAACTGAAATAAGTACAAATTCACATTTTTATGAGTTCAGTATTTGGATTTTTTGGTTCTTATAACCTGCAATCAGTAAAATTTTAAATTGATAAAAATAGTATGTACATACACAACAAGTGTTTTATGACTGTCACTTTAGTATTCTTTAAACATAAAATGCCATCAATTCAATGAAATTAAAGAACCATGAATTATTCATAAGAAAGTTGGCACATGTCACCCAAATTTGTGGTTACAAATAACACAGAACATGGTTAACATTCAGTGGTAAACATGAAGCTATTGCATTCAAGCTGGAGAATATTCTTTTAATCAAAGTGATGTTTTGGGGCCGGCCCCGTGGCTCACTCGGGAGAGTGTGGTGCTGGGAGCGCCGAGGCCGTGGGTTCGGATCCTATATAGGGCTGGCAGTGCGCTCACTGGCTGAGCGCAGTGCGGGCGACACCACGCCAAGGGTTGGGATCCCTTTACTGGTCCCCCCCCCCCCCCAAAAAAAGTAATGTTTTCATTTTTCTTTTGATAATATATTTTTAAGATTTATTTTTTTCCATCAAGTCTTTAGTGTTTATTTTTATTTTAAATCTAAATTTAATGTAGAGGCTACCCCAGTATAAAGCCAGAAATAATATACAATTGGGGTCCCTTTACTGGGCTCCCCCCCCCCCCCAAAAAAAGTAATGTTTTCATTTTTCTTTTGATAATATATTTTTAAGATTTATTTTTTTCCATCAAGTCTTTAGTGTTTATTTTTATTTTAAATCTAAATTTAATGTAGAGGCTACCCCAGTATAAAGCCAGAAATAATATACAATAAAAAAACAGATGCCCCTTTGTATCCTAAAAATGTTTGGGGTAAAATGAATCCTATCTTCTTATTCTAAAACCTAATATATGTTTCTACTTCAGAAAAAAAAATGGTGTTCAGAAGACCCATGATAGTTATTAAAATGGTGCTCATCCCAAGTACTTCATAGGTAAAGAACTACTTATTTCCATGAATTCATCCTGACGTTCACATTTTTAATGCAAAGGCTCATGTGGACAACTGTCATTGATGTCAGCTTTCATTTAGATTTTTATTCTTTTTATATTCATTAACAATTTTAATATCTTTTCTCCTTTTATTTTATGTTTATATTATGTACTACTTTCTTTTCTTTACATTTTTGCAGAAGAGCCATGTTTGGGAGACAAGTCCATATTCTGTCAAATGGAGGTGTTGGCACGATACTGCTCCATACCGGGTTACAACAAGTTATGTTGTGAGTCATGTAGCAAGCGCAGTAGTACCCTGCCACCACCGTACCTTCTAGAAGCTGCTGAAACTCATGATGATGCTATCTTTAACCCTAGTGACCTTCCTCCATCTCTAGTGATGCCTACAGTTTTGGTTCCTTACCATTCAGAGACCCCTCCTGAGAAGAAATCTTTGAGTGGCATCTCTCCAGTGGAAGGTCCACATGTATATGCTGCTTTCAGGCCAAAGGGTAAAGCTGATGGTGCTAACTTCCCCCAGCGGAGAGCTCAGCAAGCAGGAAGTAAGACTCTGAGACTGGTCTCAGGACCATCCTCCCCACCCACCAAGAGGGGCCACTTCAGTTCAGCTCCACACATGGCTGCCGCTGTCTCCTCGGCAGTCGGTGATTCAATAGGTGCTTCTTCTCAGGCAAGAACCTCAAAGAAAGCTGAAAAGATTATTGACAAAAGACGTCCAATAAGATCATCCACCTTAGAAAGATGAGAAAGTGAACCTAAAAGGCTAGAAATCAGAGGAAAACCTGGACAACCTCCCTCTCCTCATGGTGCACACAGCTTGTTTAAAGTGGAAATTTCCATAGGTCATCAACTCATTGCATCTGTAAGTGGAAGAACAAAAAGTGCTGGTTCACTTTCTAGTTGCTTTCATCCTCCCTTTGTTCTGCATCGACTTGTTTACCAGAATTCATTGGAAGAAAGCACCAAAGATTATTAATAGAAAGAAAGAAAGTTACTAAGGGTTGTTGGTCACTCTCTAAAGTAGAAAAGGGACTGGGACCAATTGTGCATATCAGTTGATTTTTTGTTTTTAAAATGTTACAGTAAAAATAAAAAAGAGATGCCAATGGTTTACACTTTAACAAGAAATTTTGGAAATGGAGTAAAGAATTTTTAGGTATTCCTATTTATCTATATTAGAAATATTGTATGAGCAAATTTGCAGCTATTGTGTAAATAATGTATATTGCAGAAATCAGTATTATTTTAAGAGATGTGTTCTCAAATGATTGTTTACTATACTACATTTCTGGATGTTCTAGGTGCCTGTCATTGAGTATTGCCTTATTCGAAATTCTATAGGTTGAATTTCAAGCAGAATATTACGAAGAAGTTAGAATAACAGCTACTGACGATATGGAGGGCTTTGTTGAGTCAACAATGTGCTACCTAAATTATAGAAAAAGGAAACTGCAGATAAACAGATCTCAGCTTACCTGTTTCCTTCCATTCTTATAATTAATCAGATTGGTGTCTTAATAGTCACAGGAAACTGAAAACAGTAAATGAGCCTATGTAAGACAAAACTGCGGCGCTCTTATTAGGACCTCAGTTGGCACCATTGAGATGCCATTGAGATGCTATTCTTTTGTGGGTTTTGTTTTATTTTTGTTTGTTTTCCCATTGTTGATATATACAAATAGTTATACTTGATGTACTGTAATAATCACAAAGGAAAAATGTTTTGGGATAACTTGTTTGTATGTTGGTAGCTGAGAAAAGTATCATTGAACTAAAATTGGCACCGAGTAGGGCTTTGGAAGCAGGTACCAGAAAGCACTTGTCAATAATTGAAATATTTATTTTCTGCATGGCTCATACCCAAATGTTCACAACCACAATGCATCTGACTGCAATAATGTGCTAGTAATTTATGTCAGTGATCACCTTGCTCACAGTGAAGCCAGAAATGCTCTCCCCAGGGAGTAGATGTAAAGTACTTGTATATAGAATTCAGAACTGAAGATATTTATTAAAAGTTGATTTTTTTCTCGATAGTATTTTTATGTACTAAATATTTACGCTAATATCAATGACGTATTTTGGTAAGCTAGAGAGACATAATTAGAGGTTTTGCTTTGTGCATAGAGGAGAAATTTAAGTGAACTACCACTGCCAACTCAAAGAGCTAAAATTAAACAAATTTGATGTTATTCAAATGTTTTGCAATTTTAATGTAGTTGATACAAAGTCAACGACTTGTTCCCATTCAAGGAAACATGAAAAAGTATGAGCTCACCTAGCTGTTTAATAAAATAGTGAATTAGAAACATTTTTTAAAGTATGTGAAAGACATAAATACTTCATGACTTATACTTAAAACAGAAAAAAATGTGTCATCAGCATAACGTTTTTGAGATCAGTATCTGAACTGTCTAAGAATATATTATGCAAACTAAAATGTGGATGTGTTAGCCTCTCAAAGCGCAGAATGTGCAAGGACTTCTGCATTTTAATCATTGTAAACTAACAGCCTAACCTATTGACTCTATACCTCTAAAGAATCGCTGCTACTTTGTGCAAGAATTTTGAAGGTCAAATGAATTAGTTGAATTCTAGATATTAAAACAATTCCTGAGCCTTAAATAGAAGTCATTTTTTTTTCCTAAAAATTTCCCTAGAATAAAATTCTCTCTAGTTTGCTTGTATGTGCATATGTCTGGTCCACAGGGGAATATAGAGAAAGGTGGTCACACACGTACACCTCCCATAAAGATGTACATATTTGTTATACTTCTGACCTTCGAGCTTTCTTTTCTACTAAGCTAAAAATTCCTTTTTATCAAAGTGTACACTACTGATGCTGTTTGTTGTATTGGGAGCACGTAGCAATAAAAATGTTAACAAAACATATATCTGGCTCTATCTAGATTTTATCATTAGATTCATCACAGAATAACAGAGACGTGTCCTTTCCTCCTACAAAGTGAAATGGTATCGAATTCATTTGCTACTTTCTCTAAAGAAGCTCAAATTAAGTGACAGTGTCTCCTATTTTCACACCAGGATGTATCATAATATTTTTAAAAAATAAAAAAGGTTTGCAGGAGGTAGCTTTCTGCTTAAGTCTGTCCCATAGAACTATGAAAAGAAAAAGGCAAGATGGAGATAATGCTAGTATTTGTGAGAAGGAAAAGGGGTACTTTTATTTTTTAAATATGCAATCTTTGAGTAATTTTTTTAAAAGCTGTCCAGCAGCTTCAAACCCTGATTACCTTAAAATTTGTGGGAGCCCATCATCCAGACTCAAGAGTACGGGAAGAAGGGAACCTCACAGTGGAAGGCCTTATTTTTGCGTAACAAGGAGATACTATTAGTGCGGTGGTCACCAGTTTGAACTGCAAAGGCAGATAGACTCAGATTCAAACTCCACCTACCACTTCATACCTGAGTGGCCTTGGGTAACCTCCCCAAGTTTGTTTCCTCATCTGCAATGTGGGGGGCAGAACTGTCGCACATCATTCCATGAGCACTATGAGAAATTAGATCATATAAGTAAAGCTTTTAGCACATGGCCTAACACATAATAGCTCACACACACACAAAAATTAAGTATTAATAAGTCACTGTCCTCCTTTTCATCAGCGTCCCCCATCCTGATAAATGGCAGGTGCGTAGAAAGTTGCTCATGTACTTTGTGGCGGCACTAAAGTTACTGCATTAAAACTGTCATTTGGAAAGGTTGCTATTTTCAGCCAGTTCATAGTTTCAAATTGTTGATTTGACCAATTAGCTTTTATCCATTTGATTGTTAACAATTCACCTAGGGCTCAGTAGTGTTGTTTTTTGTTTGTTTGTTTTAATCTACCAAAACCCCCAAATATTCTGATATAAAGGAAGAAAATGATTACTCACAGCCAAATATTATTCATATATCACAAATGTTACCATCCTGTCCTGTAGGATGAAAGTGATAAAACAAAGTTCTGCAATCTGCTACTGAGTAAGCAAGTGATGTTAAAATTACAAATATATCTACACAAAGAGCAATTCTTTTCACACGAGCTGTTTGGGGCCTTCCCTGGAGAGACTCTCACTAGTAGTTAAGGGTGAAAGCAAACTTTTTCAGGGTGGAAGATATGGTGACAGTAGTTATGTCTGCTTTCTGTTCCTGCAACAAAGTGCTAAGAGTTCTAAACTTCACAAGAAGTTATCGTGTCCTAGATAAGAGTGTGGATGCTAAAGTCAGACTGCTGGTTTACATCCTGATTCTGTAGTCAACTAATTGTGACTTGATTAGTTACTTAAATGTGCCTAAGCCTCAGTTCTTTTATCTGTAAAATAAGGATAATAATAGTACATACTTCATGGGGCTGGCTGTTTAAATAAAAACTTTGATAATCCAGGAAAAGTAATGAACACAGTGCCTGACAGGTGTTAAGTGTTCATTAAAGGTTTGCAATTATTATTTTCCACAGAGAATCTATGTTTAAAGATATTTATCTTTTTATGGATGATCAACAGACCTCAAAAGATTCAGTTTATTTTAAACCAAGGTCATAATTTCCACAAAGTTTCATGTGCCCAAAAGAATGTTGAACATAAGAGTGGAAGCAGAGAGCTGTATAAACTGTGTAATGTGACAGTTATCCTCTCGTAATAGGCACAACCTGGCAAATGACACCAAAGATCAAAGCAACTGCTTTTTCTGTGAGGACATCATGCACTACAAGATATTGTCCACAGACTCGCTGCCGCCAAATATTCTTCAGAGGGTGACATACTTTCTCTGAAGCCAGAGAAGTGGCTCTGGCTATTACATGCCAAGGGAAAAAGGGCTCACGTATGACCTTTAATTTTATTTGAACTACACATTTCCCCCCCAAACAAAAATTTCTATTTTCTTTGTATTCTTCTTTAGTACCTAGCTCTCTGCTTTGCCCATTGTAGTTAACTACCTACTACATTCTGTAAGGACCCTGCTGCCGAAAACAGATCTAGAGTTATAGCTGTGGTATCCCATCTGTTTTCAGCCTTTTCCTCTCTCTGTTACCTTACTTGGCAGAACCAGGAACTAGCTAATGTTGACCCTGAAAAGATCTTTAAATATTGTCTAGTCTAGCACTCTTTATTTTTCAGAAATAGGATTAAGACCCAAAGGTGACTTCAACATCTCATTTCTGAATTTGGGATTAGAACTGAGATTAGTATTGCCGACTCTCAGTTCAGTTCTTCTTCCATGGCCAGGATGCTTCTATTCTATAAAAATAAGGGACTCCAATGAAAGAGAAGGTCATTATCCCTGGATCAGCAAGTGTCTAAGTAATCATCTCAACCAAGTGAGCCAAAGTGTGCATCTTGAAAGGGAAAATCTGAATGTCTCTATTAGTGAGGTACTTTGTACTTCCTGTGAGCCTGTTCCAACCTACCCCACTATCCAGGAATATGGCCAGCTATGTGCTAGGGACATCTTCATTGTGTATACTGGGGGATGAGTCACATTTTCCTGGCCATTTCAGAAGATGTCTGTCTAAATGACAAGGTGTAATTTTCTGGTTTCTTTGTTGGGGTGTACAACCCTATTTTTATATCTCAGATGTTGCGTGGTGCTTAGAGATGGTAACACAGCCTCTCGCAGAATGCTTTAATATCTGTGATGTTCCCAGCATGGAACTCAAGTTGTCAGAAGAAGCCTCTCTGATTCCATTTGGCTTTGCTTTCAATTTTCATGATTATTAGAAATCTTCTTGAATAATGTGGGTTGTCTGGATATATACTTTCTTTAAGCATATAGCTAGTTCTATGATTTTCTTCCCTCCATATTTGTCCTGCTGTCTTGAATCTTCAGACTGTTCTACATACACAGATTCCTTAAACTTATAAGCATCCTCAGGTCTCCCTCATTATACAAGGAAGGATCAAACTTCTGCTTGACTCTGCTTCTGCCTCATTACCCACCTTTTGATCTCTTTTCTTTCTTCACCATCAAACTTCCAAGGGACTGGCCTAGTGTTGGGAAAATAGAATAGTTGGGTCACGGCCCTCGCCTCAGGTCCAGTTGGGTGTGGTTTTAGCACATCCTTTGTAAACAAATTGTCTGTGCGTGTGTGTGGAGTTAGTGTGCATGCACGCCAATGTATCTTTTTAGTTTTGTTGCTATTCTTGTGTTCTTAAGAGAGAGAGAGAGAGAAAAGTTTAGTTTGAGTGAAGCAGGTGGGCAGGCATCTGCCTCAGGCGTCATCCCCAGGTGTCCTCCCAGCGCAGCCATACTTTCTAATCTATGGCTTCAAGGATCTTTGGCTGGTTACCTAGCTCACAGATGTGCGTGTAAAGGGTCTGGTGACCCAGCCTGGTGTGTGAAGTGTTTGTGACCCAGTCTTTGAATGGGCTTGAGGGGTCTGTGAGCTCCAGACCCAGCCCTAGCTCAGCAATTGGCCCAGTTGGTACAGGATTACCAGCAGGTAAAAGAGCCCAACAATTGGTGTGGTCATGGAGCTAGACAATTGGCGTCACAAACAGGATTAAGAGCACTACAACTGGTGATGTTGACAGGATTCCAGATATTAGCCGTGGCTCTACACCTAGCTACATTGCCTCTTCTTCTCACCTGTTAGGTTCAGCGAGAGGGAGGAAAGAGAGAGACCTGAGCCAGGCGCTATTTCAGCCAAGAAGCTTTATTCCATCAACATGGAGGGGAGACTGAATCAGATCAGCTCCCACCCCTGTACAGACTAAAAAGGTTTTATAAGGTTTGAATTAAAGAAAGGGTGTTGGGTGGTTGTTTTTGCATAAGAATATGTTTTGCACAAATTCTGGTATTTGTCAGAAAGCAAGGGAGTAGGGAGTGGAGAGTTGATTAATGTGAGATAGGGAGGGGGAAGGGGGAAGAGGGAGGAAAGTTGCTTATCAAGGCTGTGCTATGTTCAGCCAACCATGAGGCCTAATACGACCCCCATGAGCAGTCACTCTGGAGCTCACTGCAGCCTGTCTTCTGCCCCAAGCTCTCAACAAAAGGAACTCTCTCAAAGGTCATTCCCAATGGCTGCTTCTCAGAATCCTTCATGGATTCAACAGACTTTTTTATTAAGCCCTGATTATGTGCCAGACACTGTTCTAGGTGCTTGGAACACAATAGTGAGCAAAATGGTGAAAATCCCTGCTGTCTTCCTGGAGTTTACGTTGTAGTGGAGGAAACAACAAAAAGTAATCATGCTACATGAGTTTGTGATATAGTATGTTAAAAGGTGATAAAGAAGAGCATATTGTAGTAGTAAGTAGAATGGAGGTGGTAGATCTCATCTAGAAGGTGACAACAGAGGAAAAACTTGAAAGAGGTGAGAAAATTATCTCTGCGATCCCTGGGGAAGAACATTCCAGGAAGAAGCAACATCCAGTGCAAAGGCCTCAAGGTAGAATACTGAATGGCAAGTGTAAGGAGTAGCAACGAAGACGGTGAGCTGGACAGGAGCGTTTGATAGGGCGGATAGCAGACGACAGCGTCGAGAGGTGAGGGGGGAGTGAAAAATCTCCTAGGACATTTGGTATTTATTTTTCCCAGATTCTCTACAGCATTACATGACCTAGCTGGAAAGAACCCAGGATTTGATCACAGACAACTTGGATTTGACTCCTGTCTTCCATTTATGAATTGTGAGACTTGTCTCTTAAGTTCTCTTTGTTGTCTCATCTACAAAATGAAAAGAAAATACTACTTACCGACTTCTAGTGTGAAGCAAATGAGCTCATGTGCCTGAAAATGTGTTTCAAGATACATGTCTCACTGCCAGTCTGCAGCTCCAGGCTGACTGGAGAGCAGCTTTACATTTATGTAAATAATGTCATCTTGTCCCATAACCAAGGTTCAACATATCTAATAACCATGGCAAAAGAGGGAACTCAAAGCAATGTATGCT